CTTTTAAAAATGATCATAGCTGTAATGCTAGGACTATTGTAATTTCTCTAGCCTTTCTGTAATATTATTTTTTAACTTAACGAGAATAAAAATTTTGCACAAAGCTAGGTATGATGGTGGAGTGGTGCTACTTGGGAGGCTGAGGCAGCAGGCTACAAGTTCTGTTCAAGGCCAGCCTGGGCAACTTAGTGAAACCCTGTCTCAAAATTTTAAAGAAGGGCTGGAGTGTATCTCAGTGGTAGAAGACTTGCTTTGTATGTGTGAGGCCCTGGAGTCAATCCCCATTGCCACCAAAAAACCCCACAAACACACACACAACAAAGTCTTGCATTAGTTTCTTATCCACTCTCATTAGGAAATATGTTGTTCAGGAAATACGATATTTTTAATCAGATGTTCTGAATGATAGTTACAATATGTGAATTACCATTATTCATGGACTTCTATAAGGGTAGGTTGGGAGGCCTGTAATTCTCTCTTGTTTAGAGCCCATATTTTGTGGATGAGGAGTTGAAGTTAAAATGTTAAAAGTCATAGCAATAAAATACAGTGTTAGTAAATACACTGGTAGAAAATGTTGACTTCTGCATGTATAAAAGTGCAGTATAGTAACTGTTCAAAACTAGATTCTTCTTTCCTTGAGGTCAAATTTGGCTTAAATAATTAAATTTACCTTGCTGTTTCACACACATTTCCCAACTTCTTTTTTTTTTTTTAAATTCTTTTAGTCATTTATGGGCCTTTATTTTGTTTACTTATTTATATGTGGTGCTGAGAATTGAACTTAGTGCCTCACATATTCTAGGCAAGTGCTCTACTACTGAGCCACTACCACAGATCCATATTTCCCAATCTTTTGGTATATAAATGCCTCCTTCTAACAAAACTAATGTACTTTTCCCTACTATGCTGCAAATGTTCTGTGAATATCATATCTTTCTTCTTGACCATTCATGATCCCTGACTCTTACTTGCTACTCAGCAAAAATTGCTTTGTTTTGTTAGATGGGTACATTCGTTTTCTGTTGCTATTATGGCAAATTACCACAAATCAGTGTTTTAAAACAATACAGATGTATTATCTTGCAGTTCTGTAAATACAGATCTAAAAATGGGTCTTCCCACACTAAAATCTAAGTGTCCACAAGGCTGATTTTCTTTTGGAGGCTCCAGATGCGAATCCCTTTTTGTTGAGAGCCACAGCCGAAGGGGCCCCAGCAAACTTCCAGCTGCCAGCAATCCAGCTGCCGGCTGATGATTGGCTCACAGCGGCCCCAGCAACATCTAGCTGATTGGCTCCTCGGCCCCAGCAACATCTAGCTGATTGGCTCCTCTGCGGTGATGCTCATTGGACTGTTTCCCTGCCCTTTCAGACCACGGAGCTGCTCATTGGGGGACTTTTTGGCTCTGCCCACGTGACCCAGCCAATCGGCCTCAAGAGCAGGAGGATTGTGGGAGGTGGAGAGAAGCTTGTGGGGGGAGAGAGAGGCTTGTAAAAAGCCGATGGTTGCAGTTGGGCTCTGAGGGGTTTTTCCTGAGAGGCTGTTTGTTTGGCGTGTTTTGTTCTAAAAATAAAGTTAGTTTCTTTTGACAAGTGGCTTCTGATTGTGCCCAGCCAGACTGCGGCACCTTTTCTTGGTCAGCTCTCTGAGGTACTTGCACTCCTTGTCTTGTGATCCCTTCCCCCATCTTCAAAGCCAGCAGCATATCATCTTCCAGTCTCTCTGCTCTGACACTTCTGCCTCTGCTAAAAGACCCTGTTATTACATTAGGACTTCTCAGATAATCCAGGATAATCTCCAAATCTCTTGATTTAATTACATCTGCAAAATCCCTTTTGCTGTGTGAGTTAACATATTCCCAGATTTCAGGCATCAGAACATGAACATCTTGCAGCCGGGTTCATTACACCCACCACAGTGGAGGATTTTTTTTTTTTTTTTTTAGTAAAATATGAGCTTTAATTTTTTCTTCATTATAATAGCAATAACATATGTTCATTGTAGACAGTTTAGAATGTAAAGTTAACATAAAAGAAAAAAGCTCATCTCCAAAGGCAACATTTTGATGTATTACGCTTTCTTTGCCCTACATTTGTGTATAACATTTTTTTTCCCCAAAATAGTGTCTTTCTTTATTAACTTATTCATGTGATACAATGTGGTATTTCAACACATGCAAGCAATATAAAATGATCAAATCAGAGCAATTAGCATGTCCATTACATCAAACATACCTTCTGTCTTTGTATTGGAAGCATGTAAAAATCTTCTATTTTGGAATATATAATAAATTGTAATTTCTTAAGCTGCTTAAAGCTGTATATTCAGTTTATATATAGTTTTAATACAGCAGTAAACAAATCTTTGCATATATTTTTTCATAGCTATTTGTGCCTCTTCCATATTACATTAGTTGTTAAGAACATGCTGAGAAATCAATACGTTTGTCCAAATAGTTAACTTTATTTATAATGAGGAATTAATTTAAGACTATGATTAACTGATTTCACATTTTCTATTTTATTTGATTCTTGAACGTATCCTTTCATAAACTTTCTTCTGATTTCTACCCACTAATAATCCCCAGATCATTTCCGTTTAGCCTTTGAAATGGAACAGAACACGTGAGCACTGTGTGTTGTTGAGGAAGCTTCCCTGGATGCGTGCTGCCTGCTGCAGTGATGGACGGTGTCCAGGAAGCCCACCTTGTGAGTCACTTCACACAAGTGCTCTGGAGAACTAAAAGAAAACACGTATCTGGGAGAATGAGAAGTCAACATAATTCTTCCTTTATAGAATGGGAAATCATTCTATTAAACATTTAAAATATTAGTTATACTTCACTTGCTTTTTAAATTTATTTCCCTGTAACTTTCTGATGATCCATGTCTCCTATTTTTAGAGAGGTTTGCTCTACATGAAATTACTCCTTAGAACACTCAACTATCAAAATATATTCATTAGAGTTGGGAGGAAAAAGTCATATGGTCTGGGCTTGGTGGCGCATGCCGGTAGTCCCAGCTGCTTGGAAGGCTAAGGCAGGAGGATCACGAGATCAAAGCCAGCCTCAGCAAGAGTGAGGTGCTAAGCAACTCAGCAAGACCCTGTCTCTAAATAAAATAAAAAATAGGGCTGGGAATGTGGCTCTGTGGTCAAGTGCTCCTGAATTTAATCTCTGGTACCCCCCCCCACCCCAAATAAGTTGCATGGGATTTCACTCAGTGGTCTTTTAGTTTGAAGTACCAAATTTAAAAGGGCCTCACTGGCTTAAGTGTCCTGAGGATGGCATAGTCTATAGATGCCAAAACTCCACTTTGGTCTAAAAGTGAATATATCAACATTCAGTGTTTATCATGCCTTATTTATTTATTTATTTATGTTTGTGGTGCTGGGGATTGAACCCAGGGCCTTGTGCATGATTTAGCTCAGTGCTTTACCAACTGAGCTAAATCCCCAGCCCCTATGTCTTTTCTTTAAAAAAAAAAAAAAAAATACAGCTGTAAATAATTGATATAATCTCTTACTTCAACGCAGCTAGAGGGGTGTGTTTCTTTTAGTTTGAAGTTTATTTTGGTCTGCAGGGATTTTTTAAAGAACCATTCCCAGGTTGCCCAAAGTGCTGCAGTGGTTGACCATCACAGTACATCACATCATACTCGGTACCCAAGGTTGGCACTCTGAACTGAGTTATTCGCTTGAGCATCTAATGCAGGCCTTCATAAACCTTCACAGACAGCTGAGCTCTTCCCACTCACTGTACCCTCAACCCTCCTGTATGATAGAGCATCAAGGAGAGGCAGGAAGCAAGAGAGGAACAGTGGTACATAAAATGTCAGCATTGTCTTCTACTTCTCAGCCCTAACAAGGGCCAGGTGATGCCTAGTAGCAGTTTGCATTAAGTGGAGGAACTTTGAACTTGGGGAACACCAGCCTCTTGTAAGGAATAATTTTATGAATAATGGGATAGTGACAAGAAATTCTTTTTATATACTGTACAGTGAACGAACTCAGCCTCTGCTCAAGAGGGAAGCACTATCTCTGTCATCCAGGCTGCTTGTTCTATAAACATCTTTGAAAAGATAGTCCAGAACAGAGACTCAGTGCCTTTGCTTGCAGAATGTCCAGAAATGTGAGACCCATAGAGAACTGTCCACCTACACTGTTTTACCTGTGTACATGTTTATTACCCATCTTCCCCAAAGAATAGCTTCAGGAGTGTGGACATTTTGGTTTTTTTCTGATTTCTTTCCACACTGATTATACCTTGTCCATAGTAGGTTCTCAATAAATGCTTTCTAAATGAATGGATGCATGTGAGTTATTTGATCTATTTGATAATGATATATTTTGGAATAATGCGAAAAATAATAGGTGTATTTATATTTCTACCAACACAGCTTATTAGTGTTTTGACATTACCTTTAAATATGTTCTGAAAGTAAATTTTCATTCTAACCTTAATCTTTATTATCAAATTTGAAGACATATATATTTAAAGGAAAGCAGATTTTTACTGATACATATATTTTGATATAGTCAGAACCTTTTGAAGCAAAGAAATGTTTGTTGACACATCAGTAACAGCAACAAAGGCCAGAGCACATTGAGTTACAACCTACCACATGGATTTAATTAAAATTTCAGTAATTTTTTTTAAAACTCTGGGACTAAGTGGTTAGATTCAATTTTGTTAAGTGTAGTACTTGTTTATGCTAGAAATCTTATATGTCCTAAGAATGGGAATGTTTATCCCTATAAATATTCATAGCTTGTATGTAGTTATGACACAATATTGGGTGGCCTTGTAAGTAAGAGTAGAGTTGGGCACTAACTCTGTCCCAGACACTGTACAATCTTAGACAATCCCTGAGTGTGTGTACAGTGTTTTCTATTTTACTTTGATGAAGTCAGGATAGCCACTTTTTAATGTTTCAGATCTGCATCTCTTTGGTTTTTGTTTGCTCACACAACTATCTTTTATTGTTATTCCCTTTATAGGTGATGTCCTTGTTGCTGTGAATGATGTTGATGTGACCTCTGAGAACATAGAGAGAGTTCTGTCTTGCATTCCTGGACCTATGCAGGTTTGGACATTCATTTTCTTATAGTGAGTTATAGAAATGTATCTTGTACCATTTTCTTTTTTAGGATTCTGAAAATTGTCATATATAATGGATTAGTTACATTTATACTTGGATATTTAACACATTGTAGTTCTTGGTAACATGTTTAGCTTAGGGGTATTGTTCTGAAAAGGGAGAAAAATAGCTATAAATAAAACTCATTCTAAATAAAGCAAAACAGCAACAATAATAAAAACATAATTATCAGCTTGCCATTATAACTAACATATGTGCTGATGACATTCTAGTTCCTAGAAGAGCCATTTTCAATAGTCATGGAATTTTTTTATTCTCTGACTTATTAAATTCACTATTGCTATAAAAAGATTTTTAATACTGTTTTATTCTAAGAACAAATTATACTATTTTTTTGAATTTCTATTTTTTGGTAAAATTTGTTAAACTACTTAATGAATTATTTTTTACTGCTTGTAGATAAAAATAAATTTATTTTATGCTAACTCACTTCAGTATTCTAAACTTACATTTTTTTATCACAGATGGCATTTTAGGATATTAGATGTATTTTGGAAGTGCTGTACCTCCTTTTCAGGAACTCTTTGTTCTCATTAGGATCAGACATTCACTTTCCGTCTTTCTTGGGAGGTGGAGAAGACAATGTATTCAGCTAGGTTAGAGGATCCGCCAGGCGGTGAGAGGGTTAAGTGGTTTGGGGATTGGTTAGGTAGAAGAACAAAATCCTTGAGGGATCAGAACCTTACGTGTATGTGTTTTGAGATTCTGAAATAAGCCTGTGAGGAAATTCCTTATGAGATTTCCCTCATGCCTGCTTCCTTCTCTTAAACGCCCATGTGCTTTCAGGTACTTGTGCAGACTTACACAGATGCTCTATAAATTCAGCTCTTTAGAAATGTGAGGCGAAAGTATTGAAATGACCATGGTAGCCATGACGGTAGCGAGTGGAGTGGTTAGAAGACATAGGTGGAGATAGGGTGCGTTGGAGATATTGACTCTCAGGTGGACACCAGCGACTAGGATAAGGGGTTAGGTCTAAGGAGGTCCTTGGGCGGTTGGAGGTACTAGGGTACTAGGGGGAGAGACAGCAGCTAACTACCCATCAGTAATGAAGAACTGTCACATTGTCACGACTGAGCGAGTTCCCCCAAATAAAGTGTCCCTGTGTCAGCTCTGACTGAGGCCCCTCTTCCTTGCCTGTGTCAGTTGCAGGTAGGTTGCCAATATTGCCAGAGCTTAACCACATCATGTTTATGCAGAATTACTTTATATTTAATTAACAATTACAAATTCATTTATGTACACTTGGCAAAAAAAAAAAAGGAAAGAAATAATGATTTGAATATTTTTGATTAATTGTACCCACAATTAATACATCCTCATTGACTATGCAGTAGGTATCTGTTTGTTCAGTTTGCCTCTTATACCATGAGCATCTTGCTGCATTATGTATTGTTCTGAGTTTAAAGACATATGTTTTACACCACATGGCTCTCAAGTGCCATGTCTGATGCCAACATGAAGAAATAGCAATTGTTTTGAAGATGAAGGAAAACTGACTTAGTTAGGCTTATTGTAGACTATGCTGTATTACATCATAGCATCGCCTTTTGATGATACACAACTTTAGGATATAATTCCATGATAGCTATGTATTATTGAAATATTTTTATTATTTTAGAAAAATATAACTTTTTATTATGAAAGTAGAATTTTCATAATAGAAATTTTGGAAAATTCAAAATAGTAAGGGAAAAATCACTTAGAAACCCACTATGTCAAGATACCTATTGTTTATATTTTGAAGTATTTCATTCTAGTATTTCCTCCTACATGTAAACACTTATTTGTTTTACTGGAAAAATTGGTATTATAACTGTGTCTTTATCAAAACCAAACATCTCTATATAGGGCAATGTATCTTTTTTTGGAAGGGGGTACCAGGGATTGAACTTAGGAGCGTTTAACCACTGAGCCACATCCCTAGCCCTATTTTGTATTTTATGTAGAGACAAGGTCTCACTGAGTTGCTTAGTGCATCACTTTTGCTAAGGCTGGCTTTGAACTCATAATCCTCCTGCCTCAGCCTCCTGAGCTGCTGGGATTACAGCCGTGCACCACCACGCCTGGCTGAGGGCAACGTATCTTTAATAACTATATAAAAGATAGTTTAAATCCCTTTAACTAGAAACCATATTTAATTAGCAGACCACAGTTTTCCTTCTTTGTTAATGTTAAAGGGAGGGTAAATTGTAAGCTCTTCACTACCGGCCATTTCCCCAAGGCCATGTAAACTAGGAATTCCTGGAGACAGGAGTGGGATAGGGAAGGAATGAGTGTTCCTGGGTGTGAGCCATGTGTCAGGTGCTTTGCTTATATCATTTCCTCTCGGCTTTCCCTCACTGTGACTGAATAACTGAGAAAATCAGCTTAACAGGAGAAAACATTTGTTTGGTTCATACTTTCAGTCTGTAGTAGGTCACTTGACTCTTTGTTTTGGGGCCTATTGTGAAGTAGAATACCGTGGCAGGGAATGGATTGTGAAGCAAAGTTTCTCATCTCATGATAATTTAAGAAAACAGAGAGGAAGGAACCAGAGTCCCAGTCTCCCTTTCAAGCATACCCATCAGTGACCTCACGTCCTCCACCCAGGCCCCACCTCCTAAAAGTTTTGCCACCTTCAGATAGTGCTATAGACGTGCATATGGGCTTTTTTTTTTTTTTTTGGAACCAGGTATTTAACTCAGGGGCACTTGACCACTGAGCCACATCCCCAGTCCTATTTTGTATTTTATTTATAAACAGGGTTGCTTAACACCTCACCATTGCTGAAGCTGGCTTTGAACCTGTGATCTTCCTGCCTCAGCCTCCCAAGCTGCTGGGATTATAGGCGTGCGCCACCACACCCAGCACACATGGGCTTTTGGCAGACATTAAGATACAAACCATAGCATTCCATACTTGGACCCAAAGGCTCATGTCCATCTCAATGCAGAATCCACTTAGTCCATCTTCAGGAGTCCCCAAAGTTTTAGCTATTCTGGCATTACTCAAAAGTCCAAGTCTGAAGTCTCCTCTGAGCCTCAAGGCAAACTCAGCTGTGAGTCTCTTCAAAGATTTTACAATTGCAGTGGCACAGAATAGCCATTCCTATTCCTAAAAGAAAGAGTGAGAAAATAATGAGGAGGAATTGGACCAGAGCAAACATTAAATCCTGTAGCTCCATGACTGGCGTCTGAGTCATATGTGGTAGCTCGAAGACTCCAGAGGCTTGGGCAGCACCACTCCTGCAGCCTTGCTGACTGCAGCCCGCACAGCCATTCTCTGGGGCTGATTCTGCTTGCTGCATGCAGCTTCCCTTGGAAGGCATACCACATTCCTGGAATCTCTAACTTCCTGGTCTATTACAACTTGAGCTTCAGTCTCACTGCCTTACTGGGCATAGTCCTTTCAGGGGCTACTTGCAGAGATTCCAACACTTCCACATACCTCTTGACCTCCCAGGATATCCTTTGAAATCTTGGTGGAAACCTCCATGACCCCATAACTCCTACACTCTGCATGCCTGCAAATTCAGCATCGCATGGAAAACAGCAAGGTCTGCCACCTGCGTGACCTCTCCATGGGCCCCTTGAACCATGGCTGCAGCAGTCCCTGAGTGTTATGCTGGCTGAACAGCCTGGAAACCATTCCCTATGGGGCCCTGTGTGAGCGGGGTGCCCCGTGGCTTTCTTCTCAAAGGCAAGTGTTTGAGATGAGTGTGCACTTTTGTGCCCTTTAGCCCTCCGTAGTGCCAATTCCTGAGATGCTCTCCAGGCATCTTTTCAGTCATCCATGAGCAAAGCACTTGGCTTCTTTTTAATGACCTTGATCCTCACACCCTCCTTGGCTGCAGCTTTAAACATGCTCCTTTCTGGCCAGACTGCAAGGTTTTCAGATCTTTCTGTTCTGTTTTTTGCTCTCAGTTCTCCCTGTAAGCTGGATAAAGTTAACCAGTAATGCCCATGCCATAGTCTGAATTCCGTTCTGCCTTGAAATTTTCTCCACCAGATTAATTAATCCATCACCTTTAAACTCAGCCTCCCACAAAGTCTCAGTGTAGGGATAAAACCTAGACAGGCTTTTTCCCCTAGGAATGTAACACAGTTGGCCCCTAGTTCAAGTCCCAATAGACTCTCATTTCCATCTGAAACCTGATGAGCCTGGCTTTTACTTTTCACATTTCTATTAGAATTTTGATCTTCTCAGCCCACACTAAAATTGCTCTCTAAGCTCTGCTTACAGTGCTTTAAGTTTTCTCTAGCTTGCTTCTCACACTTTTCCAAATTTCTCCTGTAAACCAATTCCAAAGACATCTGAACGACATCATCAAGTGTAGTCACAGCAATGACCCCACTTCCTGGTACCTGTTTTCTGATACTTAAGATATAAACCGTGACAAACCTACAAGATTCTAGTTATCCATATTACTGTTTTAAGTGTGAGGAAAAAGCATATTAGAGTTCTAATGATTTACCCAAGGTTATGAATAAATAACCGAAACTCGAACTGACCCCAGAGCATGATCCTCCCATTTCACACTGACCTGTGTAGGTCTTGATGTCTGGATCCCTTTGTTCTTGCTGGGTGCTTTAGTCAGCTTTTTCACTGCTGTAACCAAAAGACCTGACAAGAACAATTTTAGAAGAGGAAAGTTTATTTGGTGCTCACATTTTCAGAGATCTCAGTCCACAGATGGCCAACTCCAGTGCTCTAGGCTGGAGATGAGGTGGAACATCATGGTGAATGAATGAGTTGGAGGAAAGCAGCTCAGGACATGGCACCAGAGGCAGAGAGAGACCTCTGCTCACCAGGACCAAGATATACACCCGACAGGCATGCCCCTCCACTGACCCCCTCTTCCAGCCACACCCTATCTACCTACAGTTACCACCATTCACTCCCTGTCAGGGGGTTAATGCTCTGATTAGGTTCAGGTTCTCATAACCCAGTCATTTCCTCTAAACTTTCTTGCATTGCCTCACACATGAGCTTTTTGGGGATACCTCATATTGAAACCATAACATGGGTCAGGACAGGTTAAGGCGGATGTGTCCCAAAAAAGCCATTTTACCCGGTTTGTATCTGTGGCGTTTGTGAGACAGTTATTCAAGCACTAAGAAAGGAAGAATGCTTGTTTATAGGGAATGCCATAGGAAACTTTCTAACATTTAAATCTGGAAACGTATAAGAATAATGTTTTAAACGTAAAAAGAGTAAAAGATGGTCTGAAAACTTTTTTAGAGCAGTGTGAAAGAAGAGTTGCCAAGGGAAAGGAGGTCAGTCCTCCATTTAAAACCTCACCCAGAACAAGTTTCCAAATGCTTCTGGGTTTCAGTTTCCTCATGTGTGGTCACAGGGGATTTGAGAGGGTAGTCTTTGAGCCCAGTTCCAACTGTACTGTTCTGTGCTTGCTTTTTAAATAGTTTCTGTTGTTGTAAATAGCTTCAGAATACCAGAAGGAAACCCAGAGGCAAAGCCTATGTACTTATGAGGTTCAAAAGCCCAATCATTTCTTTTAAAGTCAAGTTTTAAAATATCCAAAACAGTTTAAAAAACATTAAGATTAAAAAAATAATAATAAAACATTAAGATCATGGAGTTGGGTGTACCTCAGGGGTACAGCATGTTGAGCAAGTGCAAATCCCTGGATTTGATTCCTCCCCCTCCCACACCCACACATACACAAATGCTAACACCATGAAATGCAAAAATGTCTGGAGACTGTCTTAGGCTAAGTCAGACCAGGTGATCTTCAGCCAAATGCAGTAGGTGATCCCTGACTGACTGGATTGTAGTGAGGAGCAGCTGTGTTAGGACAGTTTGGGAAACATGGACTTTATTAGATAGTGGTGCAGGTTGAGTGCCTCTTGTCAAAAATGCTGGGGCCAGAAGTGTTTCACAATTTGAATTTTTTTTCAGATTTTGGAATATTTGCATAGACTTTACTAGTTGAACATCTTTAATCTGAATATCCTAAAGGCCCCAGAACTTTTGAAACATTTTGTTGGTGCTCAAAATGTCTGGAATTTTGGAGCATTTTTAGATTTAAGATTTTTGGACTAGGGAACATGCTAAATTTCTTAAGTGATAAATTATATTGTGATTATGCAGGATAATAACCTTAGAAGATACATACTTAAGGATTAAGTTTTAAAGTTTTAAAATATCGAAGTGTGGAGGACAGATAATTTCCTGAGCCAATCAGATTTGGTTCCTTGAGAATTTTGACTAAGGAATATAGAAAGCATCTGCCCCTTTTTAGCCCTGGGGAGAGGATGAGACACGTGGAGAGCAGCCCAGATATGAGAAAGACAGCGCAGAATGGGAGGTGGGGCATTTCATATCCCAGAGCCTCCCTGGTCTCCTGCAGAGAGGATGCTGGCCAGAGCTGAGAGCATCTGCCGTCTGCGTGGTAGAGGCTGGGGGACTCTAACGAGGGTGGGCTGAAATAAGAGAGAGGGGGTGGCTCAGCAGCGAGACCTTGGCAGCCATGAGTTGTAAGGAGGTGTGGTCGGACCTGAGGAAGGCACATCCTCACCTCAGCTGGAGGGATGGAGGAGGGAAGGGCAAACTGCACAAATAAGGAGACAGGAGGTGCCAGGACCATGTCACAGCCCAAAGTCTGCGGAGAAGCAAAGGTTCCAATAACCTAACTTATGTTAGTTAACAAAGGTTTTTTTCACATAAAACACATTCTTAATATTTATATAAATCAACCCCTTTTAAAATGTAGCACTTAACTCTTAATTTGGCTGTCTCACCTTTACCATTTTATGAAGGCACCCAGGTTTCTCTACATTTACAATCTACTTTACATGTGAGCTTTTAAATGTCTTTCTAAAGTATAATTATTTTTATGTTATGGAGTTTAAAATACTGATCTGTGTTTTGTTTGGCTTTTGTCATGGTGAGGGGAAAAGGTCCTTGTACCACAGAAAAGAAGTGAGATTGTTTGCCAACGACAGCAGGAGAGTGACTTTTCAAGCACATGTGTCATTTTAACCAAGTTAGCAAACCAGTCTTACATTTCAGGCTGTTGCTGCTGCCTGAAGCAAAATTAGTGAAGTTTTAAATCTACCAACGAACTCCCTTTTGTTATTTTTGGTGAGATGCATGCTGTCTTTTAACCCTCCTTCCACAGGACTAAGCTGGGAAGACCCCTCCCTGCTCCGAGTCCTGTGCCTTCTCTGTCCCTTCCCTCCTGCTCACCACTGTTGATGCTGTCCCCACTAGAGAGGTGCCACCTTCAGGACCTAGTCCCTCAGGCCATACTGTGCTGACCTGTAGCCCATGAGGTCAAGACCTCACCCAAGTATTCTTTTTTATACCCATTTAAAGTGGCATCTTTTCAACTCTTTTCTAGTATTCTTTTTTATACCCATTTAAAGTGGCATCTTTTCAGCCTGTGTTAATTTTCATTGAAAGACAACCCTTGATTGTTCCCACTTGGGGGTCTCTAATTTTTTTATATTTTTGTTCAGTTTGTTTAATATCTTTTCCCAGGAATATTCTAATTTTTTATTTGGCCTTTTTAAATATAATGTTCAGATACAGAAGGTTTATTTTTTAACATCAGGTTTATAGAAAACAAAAAATTTAGTGAATGTTGATCTTTTCCATTTAAAATTACATTGAATGTTTTGTAAAGAAACATGACTATCATGCCTCAGAAACATTTCATGAAGAACTTCTCTCCTGCTACTTAGTATAAAAATCACTACTGACTACTGGTCTTCATAACTTCATCTTTTTTCTGAATATATACATATGGATGAATTGAGACCCAGTGTCTCTTATTTTCTACTTCTGTGTTAGTTACCTTAACATCACTGTTACAAATACCTGAGATAATCAACTTAAAAAGAAAAAAGGTTCATTTTGGCTCACAGTTTTAGACATTCTAGTTCATGATTGGAAAGGTGAACCTATTGCTTTTAGGCTTCTGTGGGAGTGCCAGATGGCAGTAGGGGGCAGCGAGTGATGGAGTAAAACTGCTTGTTTCATGGCAGGGAGCAAAAGAGAGAGAGAGGAAAGCACCAGCTCCCACAGACCACTTAGAGGGCATGCCCCATTATGTAAAGACCTCTTACTGAGCCCACTCTTTCCCCTGCCGGGGACCAAGGCTTTAGCCACATGGACCTTTGGGGCATATTTAAGATCCAAACTAAAGAGCTAGTGATGTAGCTAGCAGTGCGGCTCAGTGGTAGGGTGCCACCCACCCGCCCCCAAACAAATCCAAACTATAGCAACTTGTTTATAAAATAACGCCTGAGACTCAGAAGAGATGTGTGTTTAACTTAGTCCACTTAGGCAGACAAAGAAATCTTGTGCTTCTGAAATGCCACCATGAGCTACAGATAAGAAAAATTGGATACAACTATAAGCAGTCACTCCTAGCCAACAAAACGGGAGCATCTGTCCTTTTTATTTTGGAAGATTTTGTTCACCAAGAAAGATTTATGGTGTAATACTAGTAACAGTTAGGTGAGCAGGTAGGGTTACGAGTGATTTTTTTTTTTTTTTAAAGTGTGCTTAACATTTTTGATGAAAATATATAAAGCTCATTTTTAAAAGAGTGACTGTAGGGCTGGGGCTGGGGCTGGGGCCCAGTGGTAGAGTGTTCATAATTGCGTGTGTGAGGCACTGGGTTCGATCCTTAGCACCACATAAAAATAAATTAATAAAATAAAGGTATTGTTTCCATCTATAACTAAACAAATATTTTTAAAAAAGGAGAGTGTAATGGTAGAATTCATCATGCCTTTTTAGGTTGACTTTGAAAATGGTATCTCTTGCAATAAATTTATTAAAATAATTTATTAATAAATATTCTATCCCAAATATACCTTACTGCAAACAATTTTATCTGCTTTTAAATATTGATTAGTTTTCTTTGTTCTTAAACAAGAATTTGTCCTTTTCCTTTAAAAGTTTAACTTTATTTTAAAAATATTATTGGACTTTGATGTTTAAATTTTAAACTTTATTGATTGTCATCATTAGAATGTCCGTAGATACTTACCTTGTACTTACATAGCTTGTGATGATGTCCTTCTTACACACAATTGACTTTTTAGTCAAGATACACATTGGGGCGTCCTCGAAATGAGAAGGTTATCCTGGGCCAACGTTTCAAGGAAACGTCGAGGAGTGGAAGCCACCTTTTAACAGCTCGAAAATGGCCACATTCTGGATTCTTAGCAATCTGGATAACAAGCCACGAAATGAAGTGTCTTGATAAAATTGACAGATAATCTTTATAGGGCCATGTTCCAAGGTCCAGCGTGGTGATGGCTTTTTACCCTCTTAGCCTTTGTTTTAACAGACCCCCAAGGATGTCCGAGAGAAGCGTGTTTGAGTGGAGAGCCGACTGGCTGTGGGAGGCCACTTTCCATCCTGAATCCCTTCCCTCCTCCTCCTCAGGTGGCTGGGCCTCCGGCAGTTGCAGTGTGCTGTGGCCCTCTGCACTGTCACAGCGTCTGATTTCTGTTTTTTCACAATCTTTATGTTTGTGTGGTCACCGATTCAGTTTAAGTTAAGGGATGTTTGTGCAGAGCATTGTATCCTTCCTCACTCAATAAACACCTGTGGTTGTTTGTGCCAGGCACTGTACTAGGAGCTGGAGCTGGAGCTGCCGAGAGAACACACAGCCCTGCCATCAGGACCTTGCCTGGGTGATCTAGCCACAGTGAACTCACGCTCGCGAGCATGTGTGCAGCTCACCTTCTTTGGGGAAAATGCAGCTAATTTTGCCTTGTTGAAAACCAGCACCTTGTTTTAATTTTTAAAGGTGAAACTGACATTTGAAAATGCGTACGCTGTAAAAAAGGAAACACACCAACTAAGAAAGAAGAAGGCACAGTCTAACACAAATGATTTAGTCAAACTGCTGTGGGGAGAAGAGGCTGGGAGCATCCCGCAGAATATGGTGAACTTGCCTCACATCATCATGTACCTCACGCTGCAGCTCGACTCGGAGATCTCGAAGGAAGAGGTGAGTGACTTGGATGTAGCAGGGCGAGAAGGACCTTTTACTGTCTTCCTAGTAAATGAGCATTTTTTATTTGAAGAAGAAACTACAAGGAATTAACTGTGTTTTATTATTATTATTTAAAACTGTATACTTTATATTCCTGTATATATGAATATCTCACACTACACGTTTTTAAAATAAAAATGAATCGACTATTCAGTTATTTTAAGCTGTAGGAAAAGGTGAAGGGAGAAGGTGTTGTTGCAGTACTTCTAGAAGCTAAGGACTTATTTTTTTTGTCAGCTTTATTGAGAAATTATTTATATATAACAAATTTAAACAATTTCAAGTGTGCAATTTCAGAAGTTTCCACACATTTGTGCACTTGTGTAAGCAGTATCACACTCCCTATGATATGGGGCATCTTCATCACCCCAGAGAGTTCCTGGTGCCTTTTTCAGGCATTGTCCTTCCTGCTGGGTACAGGTAGTGCTAACATTTTTTTCATAGGTTGTAAATAGTTTTGGTGTCTTTTACACACACACACACACACACACACGCACACACACACACACACACACACGTATGTGTGTAGCGGGGATTGAACCCAGGGGCACTTAATCATTGAGCCCCATCTCCAGCCCTTTTTATATTTTTATTTCAAGACGGGGTCTCGCTGAATTGCCCAGGGCCTCACTAAGTTGGCTGAGGCTGGCTTTGAACTCATGATCCTCCTGCCTCAGTCTCCTGACCCACTGGGATACAGGCATGTGCCAACATGCCTGGCTTATATTTTTAAAATTCATTTCTCAGTGTTTCTTGAACACATTTTTGGGGGCTTTTTTTCTGTCTTTTGCTAGTAAATTGAGTCCTTATAGATTCTGGATATTAACCCCTTGTCAGATGTTTAGTTTGCAGATCTTTTCTTCCATCCTATAGGTTGTCTCATAGTCGTGTTGATGGTTTCCTTTGCTGTGCAGAAGCTTATTAGTTTGATGTAGTTCCATTTGTCAATTTTTGCTTTCTTTGTCTTTTGTTTGGGGCCTTGTTTAAAAAAAAAAATTAAAAAATCTTGGCTCAGCCTAATGTTCCAAGACATTTCTCCTGTTTTCTCTTAGTAGTTTCATAGCTTTGAATCTTATATTTAAATGTTTTTTGGCCAATAGTTTTCTTCTTATTTTTCCTTGTGTTTTTAGTTATCAGGGTAATGCTGGCCTCATAGGATGAGTTTGGAAGGACCCGCCTCTTCATTTTTTTCTTTTTAAGAAAAACATAGTATTCTTCAATAAAAAGTTGGTAGAATTCACTTGTGAGCCATCAAGTCCTGGACGTTTCTTTGATGATATACTTTTTATTACTGATGTAATCTCATTGCTCATTATTGTTCTTGTCAGGTTTTTTAACTTCTTCATGATTCAAGGTTTTGCCACCCTACAGTAATGCCACAGGCTGGTATTATGGATCTTTGGGAGACATTAGGATTCAACCATTAACGGTAAACATTAGGATCCAAACCTTACATCTTTGAGGATCTTTGTCTAAACTTACTGCTTGCTTTTATCTTGTGAATCCTGTGGTTCTAAAGTGGGAATTCTTTCCTTCAGGGAGAACTTGCTTCTTAGGCTTCTGCCACCAGCCTCGAGCACTTCAGCCTTCCTTGAGGTCTCTGCTTAAAGTCGTGGTCCTCAGCTCAGCTCATCTACCTTGCTGCAAGCCCAGGGCTCAGTGTTTTGATTAAAGCTCCTGTGGACATCAGTCCTCAGGACAACCCTGCTGTGGCCTATTGCCCTGAATTCAGTACTTCTAAGGCTTTGCAGTGAAAGGGAATGTTGGAAGAATGTGGGAGAGGCCCTTGGGAACCTCTGTTTTCTTGCATGCAAGCAATTCAGCAAGAGTTTTGCCCCAGCATCTGGTTTTACAAAATGAGAGTCTCTGAAAGCATTTACTTTACCATAATGCACCAAATAGAAGTGACATTTTCAATGCCAAAGCCATTTATTCCAAGAGATATAGTTCTCTGTGTTGCTTCTTATGTTAGAATTTAATACTTGAAATGGCAAAGAAGATATTCATTCATATTTTTGCAATTTTCTATTTTCTGAAAAATACATAGAGAGTTGGAGTTAGTAATTCTAATTTCTTGTATTATTGGCTCCTTATATCTTTAAAACAAGTGAGGCATTTAAGCATTTGTTATATAAAACCCCCAGCAAATTTCAGGAATAATTGTAACCAGAATCTCTCCAGATCATTTTGTAGTGGGAGACTGCTAAGACCTTTTGTTGTCCTCGCCTTTCTTTTCCTGGGAAAGTGTGTGGATGTTTCACAAATGAACAGGTCTGTCTGCTGCCAGCCCTGTATCAACACTGTAATTAGGAGAGGCTTTTTATTCATACTGAACAGAGTGGAAGTTGCTGCAAATGCATGCTACTAGAAATTGCTTAAAAATACAGCTAATTAAATTGGTGAGGAACTGTAGAGCTTGCCAGCGCTTTCCTACTGAGCGTGTAAAACCAGAATGGAGCTCTCAATTGACCTTTCTTAACTAGTATATTTTACAGTGAAATGTCAAAGGGTCATTTTGGTTTTTTTGTGAGTTACATGTGTGATAAAAACTTTTTGTCTTCAATCTTGGAGAATAAAGACTATAAACTGAGAGATTTCAAAAACTAATCAAAGACTATTTGTTTAAAACAATGTTTGGTATTTTTATCTAAATGCAATTAAAGTATTCATTGGCCAAGGTTTAAACTTATCAAGTACACATAACAGTAGATCTTAATCAATGTTTGACTTAATTTTTAGAGATAACATAGTGGTTGGTAACTGTTTTTACACTGAAAATATTGCAAAAAATTTGAACTGTGAGGCAGAGTGTATTTGGCCAACATATCTCATAACAATTTGCATATATTGAAATATTTTGTGCTTAGTAAGACACAAAAGCAGAAATATCCAAATTTATCCTGATTTATTTGTCATAATTTAAAAATTGCCTTGGACACAGTGTCATATTGCTTGTATAAAGAGACCAAATCAAGTTGTTTAATACTCTTTACAGAGATGGAGAACCAAAGAAAAAAAGGTAGATATTTAAGGGGTTCAGGTTTTCAACTGTGGCCATATTAAATTTATGGATGTAGTCATTAAATAGTAACTGGAAATTAGTCTGAGTTCCCCATGGTTTCTATCTAGAAATTTTTATTTTGCCTGCTTTTAATTAGTCTTGTGAGAAAAATAGTTGTTTCCTTAAAAGCACAAAAGTGAGAAACAAAATGGTTCATCTCTTCATGTTTTAAAAAGTGTTAGCACAGTGCACAGCCTGATTTTGAAATATGCTGTTTTATTTTGTAAAAGCTATTTTTTTTCCTGGAAACATGCTCTGCTTAAAAATAGAAAATTATTAAGCATTTTGTGATTTATCTTATAAATTAGTATTTCCCATAATGTAAAACAAAATGTGCTCTCTTTTAATGTTTGAATTAATATTAATTTGTGGTATGCAAACCCTTTCAAATTTATGACAAATAGGATTTTATAATATCATGATTTTTTTTCTGTGTGTACGACTTTAATTTCATCTTATATTCTTATTTTATAAGCTTAATTGCAGATTTTAATTGATTATAAATAAATATTTAATAATTTTACCAAAATGGATAAAGATGATCTTTTAAAAGGCAATATGAAAGGCACTTCATTTAAGGACTCCTAAAAGTTGTATGTGGTGTGTGTAGCTGTATAACTCTGGAAGATGGAAATGTCTGTGTAATGAAATACAATAAAATATTAGTATTAGAAATTACTGTTAAGATTAAAATTTAAAACATTTTGAAATTAAATTAATTATAATTTTAATAATCAGTATCCTAGTATATATTTTGGTACCATGAGCAATTGGCAATCTCTAACCAATTTTCAAATGCTAGTTAATGTGTTCAAATTCCAAGCATACTTCTCTCCTTGTGTTTGAATAAAACTCACACTGAAGTCAGAATTCTTTTTTGTTTTGTTCTTAATACAAAGTCTGAACCATCCATGACAAAAATAATGGCTGGAAATTCAGGAGGGTTATCATTTCTGTTTCCTTTCATTTAACAGCAGGAAATTCTTTATCACTATCCAATGTCTGAAGCATCTCAGAAGCTTAAAAGTGTAAGAGGAATTTTTCTTACACTCTGTGACATGCTGGAAAATGTAACTGGGACACAGGTTACTAGGTAAAATTTTTTATTTAGCTTTAACTACATTTCTTTCAAGTTCTTTTCTTTGATTCTAACAAAATGCTAAATTTATCTATCATACAAATATACTTTTATCTATAAGATAGATACCTATACTGATATATATCTTATAGATAGGATGTCTGAAGAATTTGGTTTCATCCAAATTGTTTCCACCAGCCATCTATTAAATTTAGAGTGTAGGTTTCCAGTATAGTTGGATCTAGGTGTTTCATACTTTAATGATGGAGTTGGGCTAATGACCTGTGTTTCTTCACAAAGGTCATGTCTTTTAAACATGGCATTATTATGAGTCTAGGCTTCATGTTTTTATCTCGATGGGTAACTTGCTAGGCAGTGCCTTTCAGAACACTGAATTTTTCATATAATTAGAAAATAATCTATTCTTAAAACAACAATATAAAAATACAGAATACTTTAAGAGGAATATTCAGGAAAATTGTCATCTGTGAGGTTTATTCAGTGATGGATAAGTGTGCGTGTGTGTGTATGTGTGTGTGTGTGTGTGTGTGTGTATACATGTAAAACATAGTCAGTTACAGAGCTATTCCACTTTGATTTATCAAGTCCTGACTGAAATGCCAGGGCCTTTGAGATGAGAAAGCTCAAAATTTTTGAGTTTTTTTTCTCATAATAAATTAAATATTACAAACACTTTTTCTTCCTTAATATTTTAACAATTTTAGAGTTTAAAAAGAAATTTTATTTCAAGTTTTAAGGTTCCTCATATTAATGATAAAACACCAAGTTAGATTTTCTAGGCTTTAACTTCATTTCCCATCTTCTGGTACAAGTGACGCTTCTATGATTTTATAAGAGGTAGGACCTATAGGACAACAGGAAGAAGAATGAATTTCCTTATTTTCCTAAATAAAATTCATGTTTAACTCTCTGAGTTTAGGTATGATATATATAGTTCATCTTCAGGACAGTATTACCCAAGGCTCCATTTAATATATAAATTCACATTCATAAAAGCATACTGCAGGAGTGTTTTTATTTTTATTTTTGCCCTGCTGGGATTGAACCCAAGGCATTCTAGGCAAGTGCTATACAACTGAGCTACTTCCTTAGCCCATTTTTTTTTTTTTTTGAAACCACCTCTATTGAGCTATTGTTCATAAACAATATATTTCAGCCATTTAAAAAGTACACATGGGTAAGTGGTTTCAAGTGCATTGACAGATGTGTGTGGCCATCACTAAGGTCAATTTTAGAACATTTTAATTGCTTCAAAAAGAAACCTTATGCCAGGTGTGGTGGCACACACCTCTAATCCTAGCAGCTCTGGAGGCTGACATGGGAGGATCACAAGTCCAAAGCCAGCTTCAGCAATTTAGCGAGGCCCTGTCTCAAAATAAAAATGGGTTGAGTATGTGGCTTAGTGTAAGTGCCCCTGGGTTCAATCCCTGGTTATACGCCCCTCCCAAAAAAGAAAGAAACCCCATTTCCTTTATAATCAGCCTGTCTTCCCCAAGCCAAGCCCTAGGCTAATCGGCTTTCTATCCCTAAGGATTTCCCTATTCCAGACTTGTCATTTGATTGGAATCGTATGATGTGTGGTTTCTAATGACTGTCTTCTTTTCATTTAGCATAATGTTTCATGGTAAAGTCCTCATTTATAAAGAAAGTGTGTTTGGAGTGACTCAGTGTAGGTTTGCTTTCCCCCTTGATTGTATAGGATAAATGTCATTTTAATTAATAGTTAGATCTTGTTATTAATAATTAGGTATGGAATTAAAATGCAGAAAGTAGTAAATACAGTTAGAAAAAGTCTTTTGAGGAAGCGAATAGGAAAATTATTATTTTGGTGGTTCCTTAACAATTTTTAAATTCTAATAATATTAATATGACCATAAGTCTGATATTTGTGCAAAAGTATATTTATTTTAAAACTTCATTTGAAAACAAAAATGATGTTCTTTTGGGATAAAAAATCTGTTTAATAATTCATATTTAAAATCCCACACACTTGGGCTGGGGTTGTGGCTCAGAGGTAGGGCGCTTGCCTAGCATGCATGAGGCACTGGGTACAATCTCCAGCACCATATAAAAAAACTGAATACACAAAATAAAGGTGTTGTGTCCATATACAACTAACAATATTTTTTAAAAATTTCCCACACACTCTGTTCTCTGTATTTCCATAGTTATTATCACATTTCTTTTGAGAACACATTTAATTTTTTTAGCTTTGTGAAACAATTGAAGTACAATAAACTGAATATGTGTAATATATTCAGTTTTATCAATTCTGGAAGTTACAGAGACCACCTGAACCACTACCACAGTGAATATCTCCATCACCCCAAAAGTTTCCTTGAGAACAAGTTTAAACCTGATATATGTTTTTGTTACTTATTTATAGTCTGTGTTTCCTATTGAATTATCATCTTCTAAGCTGGGATCATGTCTGCTTTCCTTTCTTTGTATTATCTTTAGCAAATCATGCTCAAGAATAGGCAGTCACAAGAGCTTTATTAAATTGACCAACGGGGATGGATGGCTTTCTTTTGAAAAAAGTTGTGCATAGTCACTTGTGTTAACAAAAGAATTTCATTTTTAATTGCTTTTTAAAAATGCTGAGTCTACTTTTTTTGGCCTAGAATTTGTTGGGTTATTTCTGTTTCTGTTTTTAAAATAGTTTAGAATGTATTTTGTTGTCATATAATTCCTTGCCTTTTCTGTGTGGCAGTTAGGTATATGCCAAGAAATTTGCTTATTGAGTATTCAGTTCTTAAATCATACCATATGTAATTTTTTATGGGTATTTTTTATAAATTTATGACATTTAAAAATATTCTAACTTTATTTTAAATTTATTTTTCTTAGCTCATCTCTCCTTTTAAATGGAAAACAAATTCATGTGGCTTATTTGAAACAATCTGACAAGTTGTTGTTAATTGGCTTGCCTGCTGAAGAGTAAGTTGACATTTTTGTTTACATTAAAATTATTTCTAAAAAAAATTAACAAAACCTGTTTCATTAAAATTGACATTTTTTGTCAAACTGTAAGCTGCTTAAACATTTTTATGCTTTAAAGGTATGTTACTTAGTGAGATAGTTGTCTGTATCCAGTGTGAACACTATAGAAAGGTGCCACGGAGGCCCACCTGGACCAGTTAGTAAAGCTGGGTGCTCAAGACACTTCCCTTCATTGTGGCCAGTACAGAGTTGGCCGAGAGATGATCTGATCCTCTGCTCAATCTTTTGCCAGTACTGTGGTTTGGATTTGGCATGTTTGCAATTTTTTTTTTAACTGTTGGAGAATTTGAAGAATTAAAGGACAGCAGGAGGGTGTTTTACCCTAATTATGAATTCTCTGACAAAAGAATGACTTCTCTATTGCTGTTTCTTTTATCATAGTCTTCTTTTATCATAGCTTCCCTCGTAATTTTTTTTTTAAAAATTTTTTAGTTGTAGATGGACACAATGCCTTTATTTTTATGTGGTGCTGAGGCTTGAACCCAGTTCCTCACATATGCTAGGCAAGCGCTCCACCACTGATCCACAACCCCAGCCCCTTCTTCTTAATTTTTTTGCAAGTGTTTTGAAATATATCTCATATTAGTAGTTGGAAATAAAAATAGTATTGACATTTATAATGAAATGGCCACTAGCCCAGGGACTGCATTAGATCCCTTTACATTTATGAATCTCATTTAACCTTCAAAATCAGCTCCAGATACACTAGTGATTGCTGACTCCATTTTACAGATGAGGAAACTAGAACCAAGAGAGGATTAAATAATTTGCCACAGGTTATATAGTTAGCAAGAGGCAAAATTGGAAATTGAATAAGGGTCTGTCTGAATTTTACTACACTGACGCTGTAATGTCATAGAAATCAGAAACCAAGCAGGAAACAGAGTACAACATGGAGAGCAGCCCCAAGGAGATCGATTTAAACTACTGTTAGAATGGTTGTATATTGCTGTTCAGTGATTCTTCTTTAATATTGAGATGTGTTTATTAAACACAGAAAGCTAAGATTCAAATTTATATGCAGCTAACACACAGAAAAAACTGAATACCTACTGAATGCCACTCATTGTTATCTGGCACTCCACAGAGAGGACTTCACTTGGTAGTAACCATCCAAGGGCTGAAACATTATCCCTATTTTTATTTTTTAATTAGATCATTATAGTTATACATATGGGTTCATTTGAACAAAGTCATACATGCATGAAATTGATCTGTTCAGTGATTTTTAAAACCTGTAATTTAAATTCTCACCTAAACTTTAGAAATGTTTGGGCAACCTTTATGGAACTGTGAAACACAGTATCCTCCTTGGGTCCACAGAACCATGGCATGTGGTCTTCCAAATAGCGATCAAATACTAAAATAAATACTATAGTATGTGAGTGATAGAAATTTAGATAAAATTTCCTTTATTGTTTCTCTAGGGTTTAAGCTTCCCAAGAAAGAAAAAGGTGGACCAAAAAGTACATTATCCTGACAATCTGAACACAAATATGATTGTTCTCTGTTACTAATGACTGTGTTAACCAAATTTCTTTCACATATAACTGAACATTAATTGTCGCTCTGTAACAGTCTCCAAAAAAATGTAAGGGTAATTTTGGGCTGAGGATATGGCTCAGCAGTAGACCTCTTGCTTGGCACGCACAAGGCCCAGGGTTTGATTCTCCAGGACCAAAAAAATCAAAGCCCACAAAACTTAGTGATAATTCAAACCCAAATAGTGATCATTTATTATCTTATAATGGTTGAGACGACACTTTAGGAGCAACATGGTGGGTGCTTCTAGCTCAGGGTCTCTCTCAAGGTTGCAGTTCAGTGTTGGGGAGGGAGAGTCATCTGAAGGCTTACCTGGAGCTGAGAATCTGTTTCTGAGGTGGCTGTCACCCATGGCCACTGTCAGGAGGCCTTAATTCCTTGCCATATGGACCCCTGCATAGAGCTACTTGTGTGTCCTCAGAGCACATCAGCAGGCTTCCCACAAAGCAAGTGGTTCAAAAGAGAAAAGGGGGTGGACTGTCATACTTTATAGCTGAGTCTTAGAAGTGACACTCTGTTATTTCCACCACATGCTATAGGTTAGAATTCACTAAATCCAGCTCATACTCAAGGAGAGGAATTGATCTTCACTTCTTGAGGATATGATCTTCACTTCTTGATGGTCTGTTTTACCATCATATGTAGGAACTCAAGAGTTGGCTGCAGTAAACAATTTCAAAATGATTGTGTTTTGAAGGTGACTTTAGTTTGGGACAGAAAGAGAGACAATGTATCATAAATGTGGAGTTCAAATTCTTTAACAGGAAAGGATAATAGTACTTTGACATACACACTAGATGACAGCACTTTTTTATTTCCCCATTTTATTCTTGGTGTATATAGTTGCACATACTGATGGGATTTTTGTTACGTATTGGTACATGCACGTAGTAGTGTACACTATAACAGTATAACTTGGCCAGTATCACTTGCCAGCGCTTTCCCCGGTCTCTGCATCTCCCACCCCTTGGTCCCTTTCCCCTACTCATCTCTCTTTGATTTTCATGAGATCGACCCCCACCCCCCCTTTCTTTTCCTTTTTCCTCTCTAGCTTCCACTTGTGAGAGAAAAAATACCTTCCTTGACCTTCTGAGTTTGAATTATTTCACTTAACATCCATTTTGCTGCAGATCACATAATTTCCTTTTTCTTAGAGCTCAGTAAAACTCCATTGTGTATAAGTACCACATTTTCTTGATCCATTCCTCTATCGATATTCACCGAGGCTGGTTCCACAGTTTGGCTGTTGTGAATTGTGCTGCTCTAAACACGGGAGTGCATGTGTCACTGCAGTGGGATGACTTTGATGCTCTAGGATAAATAAAGAAGTAGTGAGCTGGGTCACACAGTAGTTCCATTCCTATCCTTTTGAGGAACCTCCATAATGGTTTCCATGGTGGTGGTGGTACTTCACAGTCTCACCAACAGTGTGAAAGTATTCCTTTTTCTCCATATCCTCCCCAACGTTTATTATTGTTTGTATTTTTGATGGCTGTCATTCTGATGGGAGTGAGGTGAAGTCGTTGAAACCTCAGTGTAGTTTTGATTTGAATTTTCCTAATTGCTAATGATGTTGAACATTGTTTCATATATTTGTCGATCATTTGTATTTCTTCTTTTGAGCAATGTCTGTTTAATTTGTTTGCCCATTTATTAATTGGGTTATTTGATTTTTTGATATAAAGTTTTTTGAGTTCTTTATATACTCTAGATATTAATCTTCTGGTCAGAAGAGTAACTAGCAAAGATTTTCTCCCATTCTATAGGTTCTCTCTTCATGTTCCTGATTGTTTACTTGGCTGTACAGAAGTTTTTTAAATGGATGCCCTCCTTCCCTCATTGTTTACTGAGCTTTCAGGGTCCTGTTGAGAAAGTCATCGCTTTTGCCTAAAAGCTGGAGTGTTGGGCTGGGGTTGTAACTCAGTGGTAGAGCACTTGCCTAGCATGTGTGAGGCACTGGGTTCGATCCTCAGCACCACATAAAAATTAATAAATAAAGGTATATATATATAAAAAAAAAAAAAAAAGCTGGAGTGTTGAACCTATGTCTTCTCCTAGAAGCTGCATAGTTTCTAATTCCTAGGTCTGGGATCCATTTTGAGTTGATTTTTGTTCAGGGTGATAGGAAAGGGTCTATTTTCATTCTTCTACATATGGATAACCAGTTTTCCTAGCACCATTTGTTAAAAAAGTCTGTCTTTTCTCCATTGTATGTTTTTGGCACCTTTGTCAAGGATCAGATGACTCTGTGTGGGTTTGTCTGTGGGTCTTCAGTTATGTTCTGTTGGTCTCTATGTCTGTTTTTAGGCCAGTACATACTGTTTTTGTTACTATAGCTCTGTAGTATAATTTGAAGTCAGAGATTGTGGTGCCTCCAGTATTGCTTTTTTGTCTTAGATTTGCTTTGGCTATTTTGGGTCTTTTATTCTTCCAAATGAATTTCAGAACTGTTTTCTAGTTCTGTGAAGAATGTCATTGGTATTTTGATGAAGATTGCATTGAATCTGTATATTGCTTTGGGTAAAATGGCCATTTTAATAATGTCCTCCTATCTATTCACTTTCAGCCTGTGGCTGTCTTTGCCTGCTGCAAGGTGTGGCTCATATAGTTAGGTCTTGTGTTTTAATTCCCAGCCTATATCTTTTAGTTGGAGAGTTGAGACCACTTACATTCAATGTTATTAAGAGAGATGTGTAATAATTCGTGCCATTTTGACTTATGTCTAATGTTTAATGTGGTTCTGTTTCTCATTTGCTTAGCTACTCTTCAAATGAGATTTGTTCATTTGTGGCCTCTGGGGTTTTGTTTTTGGTTTCTTCTGTTGGAATATTTCTTAAGTAAGTTCTGTAGTGCCAGTTTAATAACTATGAATTCTTTTAGTTTCTGCTAATCTTGGAAGGTTTTCTCCTCTTCTTTGATTTTGAAAGATAACTTTGTTGGATATAGCAGTCTTGGTTGTCAGTTTCTTTCTTTCAGGACTTGGAACACAAGTCCTTTGAATTTGTATGGAGAAATCAGAAATGATTTTTAAAATTTTTTTTTAATATTTATTTTTTAGTTGTAGTTGGACACAATACCTTTATTTATTTATTTTTATGTTGTGCTGAGGATCAAACCCAGTGCTTCACACATGTGAGGCAAGTGCTTTACCACTGAGCTACATACAGCCCCAGCCCCTCTTTTATTATTTTCCTGAAGAGGTTAGCCATTCCATTAGCCTGCATGTCAAAGCCCTTCTCAATTTCAGTGAGTCTTAAATTTGGTCTCATAACGTTGTCTTGGAGTTTATATTCTGATTATGGTTCCTTCTTTTCTTTAATGCTGTCTGAATGTTCAAGGCTGGCCACTCTGTCTTCCAGCTCTGAGATTCTGTCTTCAGCATGGGCTACTCCATTAGACTTTTACTGGTGGGTAGGGCATGGGTCTAATCAGGTTCAGGGTCTTCATCAAGTGATGTCTGCTCTGAAGAGATGAGATCAGCACACTTCCAGGGCTTGGCAGTTGCTCATCTCTATCAGAAGTCTGGATCTCAGGAGCCTCCCAAGAATTCTGCTCACAGGTCAGGAAGCTAATCCTTCACATATTCTGCTACCCAGGAAACAGCCCTCCAGGCTTGGTCCCTGCAGATATTCACACCTGCCTGTTCAGATTCCTCACTCACTTTAGCTTGTTATGTGACCCCCAGACTCAAAGGAGAAATTAAGTGGGTTCCCCTTCACTTTTCGGCTTGAATCCCCCTGAGGACAGTCTTCTCTGTGCCTGTTTCACTTCTGTCTGGTAGGTAGACTTTAGGCCACATGGCAGGCACTTGTAGGGACGGTCTGCATGTTTGCCTGATATCCTGCTCTCAGAAGCTGCAGTATGGCTGCCTCGAGCTGCCTCCTTCTCAGCTGCCTGCAGCCATTGGGAAAAAGCATATAGTGCATCGTGTTGCCTCTGGATTGGCCAAGTTCAGGCCTCTTTTCTTGTCTCAGGATTTTCTGTACCAAATCTGTGTTTCCTCTCTCTCCCTCTGTGATGAATCAGTGTCACTAAAGCTGCCACTGCCATAACAGCTTGGCTCCAATATCTCCTTTTTCTTTGTTTAATGTACCTAAATTTCTGAGTCTCTAAGACACTATGATTGTCCAATATTGAATTTTAGTGAAATTCTTCTTTTGCCCACCTCACTAAGGAGCAGTACTCCCGCTACTTGAATCCTGAGCCATGGAGCAACTAGGAATACAGTCTTCCTCTAGCCTGGTGACATCTTGAATCCTGGTGACAGTGCTTATAAACAGCTAATGTGTGTTTTGCTGCCTTAAAAGGGATTATAATGACCTGGGGCTAAGAGACTTCACTTTGCCAGAAGGTTGGATTATGAAGAACTAATAAGACTTGGAGAACATCCAGAATAAGATAATTTATGATGTGATGTCAGACAGAGTAAGACATTTGTCTTTCAGACTTTTGTTGTAGCCCAAAAGGCAAAATAGGGGAAAGAGAAAACACCGTGATAAACTGAAGGCCGCATGGGCAGGTGGGGAGGAACGATAGCCCACCCAAAGGAACTGAGCAGAGGCACTTACCTGCATGCTGATGGTATCTGCTATTAGGCACACGTTTCCACAAGAAATTTTTATCCTGGAGCTAAAAAAGGACTGTTACTGCTGAGGTCCCATAGGTGTATGCCCTAGCCAATTTCTTGGTCTTTATTACTCAGGGAGGTGGAAGGATGTTATCTTCCCTACACGTTTATGTCTTTCTGTCCTAGAAAAGTAGGCTTGATAAATTAGAATTAACTAAAAAATCCCCTTTATTCTCTATCCTGGTCTTCAATTAAAAAATAAGCTCTAGCTGCCTCTTAACCCCTCTTTTAATGCTCCCGCCATCCACTCTGTTCCAGCTTCTTTTTCTTGTCTATTTTGGTTTAGATAGCTGTGAAAGATAGATATTACTCTCACTTGTCAAACTGGGAAAGAGGATTGAGAGATGTCGTGCAGGCCTCAGTGTCCTGAGTGTCTCTGTATCCCCAGCGTGATGCATATGGTTCCCCCTTCCTTGCCTTAAAGCCACCACCTGTGTGCTTCTCTCTTCACCGCTCGCTCGGCGGAGTGAGAAAAGGGCTGTCCTGCAGAATGTAGGGCAGGCACCTGATTACTTGCCGGTGTGAGTGAGCTACAAAAAGCTTTCAGTGGTCAGTGGGCTGCAGTGAACAAACAGCAGGAACCTCCTGAAGAAAACAGCATGAGGTGGCCCAGAGAACACCTTTGAAGCCAAGGTGGGTGCTTCCAGCAGGCTTCCCACCGCCTGGCCTTGCAAAAGCTCTTGACCTTCTGGACCTCAGTTTGCCTTTGACATAGACGGACCTACCTTGTAGAATTCTTACAAGCCTTCAGTGAGAAAATGTAAATGCATTTCTTTCTTCTGCTCTCTTTCCTTTCTCCACACGTCATTTCCTTTCTTCCATTGTCATGGAAGGCAGAGGTTCAGTTGAGATCTGGGTAGTACTGGAAAGTGTCAAGAATTTTCCATTTCTTTCTCTTGCCCCAGGTGTATGCTAACTACATTGATTCATTAATTGTTTCATTTAATCCTCAACATCAACCCGAGAAGGACTTAGTGATTATTGGCCCCATTTCATAGATATAGAGACTGAACTGTAAAGAGGGTTAAATAATTTACATTCTGATGATATAAAAAGTTCATTTTGATTCATACTAGAAGCCCAAATCTAGACCTCAGAGTGATTGATTGCTAATGTAGTAAGCATTTTTCACAGTTCAGCTCATAGTTGACATACACCTTACATATAAAATGTAAAAGTCTTCTGCTTCTTTTAGATATCTATCATTGATTATTACAAATGAATAAATATGTTTTGCTTTTTTTAGAGTTCCTCTTCCTCAGCTAAGGAATATGATAGAAGATGTTGCCCAAACTTTAACATTTATGTATGGTTCTTTAGATAGGTAAGTACTTCTTTGAGCTGACTCTCAAGTTTTAAATACATGATTCTGTATCACCTTTGGCCCTTAGTAATATTTCTTGCTTGAGAAGTTACCTGTTTGGTTCCTCTCTTCTTCCATATTATAATTGTCTCATTTTATACTAGTTTTTATTCTGTAATGCTGGGCAGTTTTTCTTTTGATCCATTTCTTTTTTTCTTTTTTGGGGGGAGGGTTATTACGTTAATTAAATTTTTAGTGGACTAGTGATACTATATTATATAGTGATCACTGTAAAACTTAGTGAGTCGGTTTATTTCTGTAGGGGCAAATGTCAGAGGATTTCTCCATAACAGATACAGAGAAAAGTAAGACTCTAAATAAAGTTTTGTATTTTCTATTCCTTTAAGACCATTGTCCAATTCACTGTCCTAAAATACAATGTTTCTTTCTCAAAAAACATTTTACTTACAAAATGCACTGGTACAAAAAATATACGACAGAGAAGGCACTGAACATTTTCATGTTATTTTTCTATATATTTTCTACACAATATGAATGTATATGCTCTTTCTTTATACATTGAGCCCGTATTATACATATCCTTCTGCTTCTCACTTTTTTAGCCTTACACTTTAATGCGATGCACATTTCTTGATTTGAAGATGGAAATTTGAGATAACTATTCAACATTCAAGAATGCAAAATCATGGATGTAAAATGGATTTTTTTCTTAGTGGGATTTTTCTACGTTTCGTACTTCTAAGGGCTAAAATGATAGTTTTGCTTCCAAAGCCTTGAGAGCGTATCAGCATAAAAATCCAAACATTTTTCCAAACCATGGTGTTCTGCTCTATGGTGGATCTTTATTGTTAACTGTTCTCAAAGCATCATGGAGAATTTTCTGTGATGATGTCATCTGGCAAAACTATCTGTCTAGTTTGCAGTGTTTTACTGGAGGAGCCTAGAAGAGGTCAGCACATTCCTCCCCACCTGATTACTTGCCTGCATGAGTGAGCTACAAAAAGCAGGCATCTATACATAATGCTTTTACCTTTCACTAATCCAAAAATGTTTAACTAGTGAAGAGTAAGAGTGTAGTTATGAACTACCTCCTTAAATTTGCACTAGAGAAGCAAACTGCTGTATTACGCCATGTACAGCAAAGCTTTTTGCACCCATAAAATGAGAGACTATCAAAGTTTAAGTTTCTGCAATGACTTTTAATACATGAAACAGTCAACTGAAGTTGCTCTGAAAATTTCCAGTGAATCAGGTTGGGGGCAGAGGGACTCAGTTTCTCTGAATCTCCTCTTGAAGTTTAGCTTTCATTGATTTGGAAGTATTTCCAAGATGGGAGAAAATTTAGTTTCTGTTTGTTCAAGTGAGAATTTGAAGAACAAACCAATGTACTAAATGTGAAGATTCACTGAATTCTTAAAACTAAAAAGCAATATGAACCCAAGATGTTAATAGAAATTTTATAATATTTTAATAACAAAGTTTTTTCTGATTATGGAACATATTAAGGGCCCATCATGAAAAATTACAAAAATATTTTATAAGTCCAAAGATCTAATTATCTTTTTAAAGTTGTGAGCTGTTTAGTTCCCTGTAAGCCATAGAAAACGGATTTACGTATTAACAGGTTACTATTGTGGTCCAATTAAAGATCTAACATTTTCCTCCACCATTCCCAACCAGTCCATCTTGGTGTGTCTCAAAGCATGTCTCCATTCCAGCCAACCTCTCCATCGTCACTGTGGCCCTGCGCAGCCACTGCTGTGTCACACTACAGTAGCCTGACTAGTGTCCTTACCTCATTTCTTGCCACTTTAATTAATTTTCATAAAGCAGTTAAAGTTATCTTTCTACACTATTGTCCGGCGCCTCTCCACCTGTACATCAGACCTCAAACCACACCCCTCTCTACCCTGTACTATGGGGTAAAGCTTACCCTGCCTTAGGGCTTTTATACCCTTTCCTCCTTGGGATATCAGCATAAATGCCTCATGCTTAGAAACTCTTCCTTAATCATTTTATCTAAAATAGCCAAGTATCCAGGCATGATGGCACACACTTGTAGTTCCTATTTCTTGGAAGGCTAAGATGGGAGGATCACTTGAGCCAGAGTACAAGACTAACCTAGGCAACGTTGGGAGACCCAGGCTTAAAAATAAAAATGAGGAAATAGAATAACTAAGCAGTCCTGACCCCCATTCCCATCAGCCTCTTCTCTGTATAGTCCTGTGTAGGTATGCGGGGTTTCACCGGCTGCTCATTCATTCTCTCTCCATTAGAATCACGGGCCCCCGGAGCTCCTTGTCTTTTGTCTTGATGTTACTGCTGTGCCTCCGGAATTGAGATGGTGCCGGAACATGAAGGCACTCAGATATTTGCTGGACGAATCAGTGAAAGTTCTTTTCTTTTGTACTGGGGATTTGAACCCAGAAGTGCTTTACTACTGAGCCACATCCCCACCCCTTTTTGTTTTGGGTCAGGGTCTTACCAAGTTGTTTATTGCCATGCTTAGTTGCTGAGGCTGGCTGTGTGATCCTGCTGCCTCAGCCTCCAAGCCACTGGGATCACAGGTACACCAGGTGTGTGCCTATATCTGGAGTGAATGTTATTTTGTCATGTTAATGTCCCAGGTACCAGTTATGTGTGAGCTAGTAGCTGTTCCAATAAATGGTTGCAGTTAGTGTTGTGTTACTTTTAAATAGCTAAAACCAAGTATTCTCTCTTTCTTTCTCCCTCCTCCAGTAATTATGCCTCAGTAATGGAGAGGAAAAGGAATAATTTATGTTCCGTATTTTCACTTACTGCATGCTACACTAGTTAGTAATAAGCATATTAAAAACTTAGGCATGTTATGTACTAGGTAGTTTATAGTGACTTCAATTATATTAACCCGTTTTTCACAGAGTTGGAAGCCAAAATTCAGAGAGAGGTTAGGTGATTTGTCCCATGAGAGCTGTTTAGTAAGAGCAGAGGTAAGTTGCAAAGCCAAGTCTCCACTATTACAAAGGTCGGAATCTCTTTATTACATTTTGCCTCAAAGATAGCAGGAGTGATAAATGGTTGAGAAATAGTCAAAGGTAAATGCAACTTACATTTTCTACAAAAAACAAACAAAACCCAAAGCCGGTTTCCCTGTGCTGTCCTAACTTCAGCCCTTATTCCTTCAGGTCCTTTGGCCAGGTTGAGAATGCTCCTCGTTTGGATCATTTCTTCACCTTGTTCTTTCAAAGAGCGCTGCAGCCTGCCAGCCCCCCTCCCTGTGCCAGTCCCAGTGCTTGGCAGTACGAAGCTTCCAGTGCAGCGCTTTTAGACAACCTCCCTGGAGTTCGGTGGCTCACACTTCCACAGGAAATCAAGGTAGCGTTAGGTGTCAAAAATAAGAGTCAGTCCGCTAAAAATAACAAAATCGCTCGTTTTAAAAATTATTTTGTGTTTTTGTGGTGGGGTTGAACCCAGGAGTCTTATGCATGCTAAGCGTGACTCTACCACTGAGCTACACCACAGCCCAGCAAGATCTTTCTTTACATGAACAAATGTGTTTTGCCTTTGGATTGTCCCATGATGGTTAAATATTATCAGGGTGACATTAGTTGTAGATGACATTGTCTGTACACCCAGATTAACTGTACTATTGAATTATTGACAAGATCATTTCAGAGGCGTTCATCAGTGCAGATCACCATATGTCTAGTTACAGCATCTCTGTTAGTATTTAAAGGGGCACCGTCTTATAGCCATTTCTCTGCCTGTAGAGAAACCTAGGGTTATGTTATAGGAGAAAAATCTAATTCATGATTCTATTCTTCATGAAACTAGAACATGTGACTAAAGAAATGCCTTCTAGATAGTTGAATAATTTTTTCAGTTGATATATGAATCTCTTTGCTCAGCTTCTCATCTATAAAATAGGAAAAATAATAGTATGTACTTCATAAAGGAGCTGTAAGTTACTACATGTGAGTGCTTAGGATTTTGCCTGGAACACTGCAGTTGTGGTTTGGAAATATTATTATACAATTATTATTTGAAAGGAGCTGAAAAGACAATATGTTTTAGTTGTCGGTGGATCTTTATTTATTTATATGTGGTGCTGAGAATCGAAACCCAGTGCCTCACACATGCTAGGCAAGCGCTCTATCACTGAGCCCCAGCCCCAGCCCCTAAAGCAAGTTTTAAAGAAACTTCACTTCCTGTTTATTTTTATTTTGTTCTAATCTGTCACCTGCCTCATGGTGCCTCCTCTGCTGTCTCCAGCCAAAGTTACCATTTTTCTAATCATCTAAAACCCAAAAAGTGTAAAATACAGAAATGAACCTCACCAGTGTTTTCATAAGAAAATGTAAGTGTTCAACCAAAAAAGAAGTTACTAAATAATGTTGCCTTTAAGGTAGGAAGACCCTGCCTTCAGAGGGTCTCTGCCTTGGAAAAGTACAGGCCCACCTCTTGAGTCAGAACATACCAACTCAAGCAGCCTGCCGTTCTGGGTGGAGCTACCCCGCGCCTTGCCCCATCTCAGAGTCTCTTCATTAAAGAAACCTCTTTGGTCAAAATATGTTGCCTCTTCTTTTTGTGATAGTAAAGGTACTTAATGGTTTCAGGAAGGGGCATTTTTTTTTTTTAATTTGTGGTTTAGAGTCATTAAGTATTATCTCCCTCTAAGATACTTCAGACATTTTAAAATGTAGTCTGTTTTATAAAATATAAGTCCTTTTATGTTCAGATTTCTTTTTTACTGGATTTTTTCTTAGTTTAGAATGCATATGATTAGGAGACTTACTTTCTTTTCTAAAGTTTTAACCTAAAAGAGTACCAAACTTATAAATCACTGTGCAAATTCTGGTATGTATTTTTTAATTTATTGCCTCAAATTGTAACTGTTGTTTATCTCCCCAAAGCTTTGATAGTTTTTATTCTTGTTAAATCTTAGTACTTAGCAGTACTAAGACTGTGGAAGTCAGTCTTCATTGTGCCCAGTGCTCAGAATTAAGCTATGTCTTTTGGAATCCAGAAAAAGCTCTAGTTTGCAGTCAAGCAAAGTAGTTGAGACTAGTACACAGGAAACACTAGACTTAGAGCTTAGATATTTTCTATATTTTGTAGTCTGGTTAAGAGAATTAAGAATAATACTTTTGGAGCTGGGCACGGTGGTGCACACCTGTAATCCCAGCGATTTGGAAGGCTGAGGCAAGAGGATCATGGGTTCAGAGCCAGCCTCAGCAAAAGCGAAGCACTAAGCAACTCATTGAGATCCTGTCTCTAAATAAAATACAAAATAGGGCAGGGTATGTGACTCAGTGGTTGAGTGCCCTCTGAGTTCAATCCCCAGTGCTATAATAATCATAATCATAATTTGGAAAGAGGGATAGATATTTTTGCTAAAGTTGTTTTAGGATTTCTTTAATTAATGTAAAATTTGAAGGACATAATAACCTGTGAAGGTTATTTTTGTGTGTGTGTGTGTGTGTGTGTGTGTGTGTGATTGTATGTGTGTGTGTGTGTGTCTACATTTTAGGATAGTTTTAGGTTTGTAGAAAAATTCAGAGAGAGAAATTTTCTATGCATACCTGCTACCACACACCCCATGTCTCCCCATCGTCAGCATCTCTCACCACATGATAGAAATCATTATGACCAACCAGACATGGTCGTGCACACCTGTGATCCCCGCCTCTCAGGAAGCTGAGGCAGGAGGATCACAAATTCAAGGCCAGCCTCAGCAGCTTAGCAAGACTTTCTCAAAATACAGGTCAAAAAGGGCCTGGGGCTGGGGGTGTGGGGAGAGGCAGCTTTGGTTGTGGCTCAGGGGCAGAGCACTTGCCTAGCATGTGTGAGACAGTGGGTTTGATCCTCAGCACCATATAAAAATAAATAAAATAAAGGTATAAAAATTACCATAACAAAAACAGGGGGCTCTGGGAGTATAGATCAGAGCCCCCTTTTTTAGTAACAATTTTTGAGGGGATATCAAGGATTGAACCCAGGTAGAGCACCATGGGTTTAATCCTTGATACCCCATCAAAAAATTGTTACTATTGAACCTACATTGACACATCATAATCACCAAAATGCACAGCTCAAATTAGGGTTCACTCTTGGCGGGGTACCTTGTGTGGGTTTGGATACATGTATAGTGGCATGTATCCACCCTTGCCATCACAAAAGAGTAGTTTCGCTGCCCTGAAATTTCTCTGTGCTGTACTTATCCCTCTCTTTCATCCTTCCATTCCTCTAAACCTTGGCAACAAGTGACCTTTTGATATCTCCATAGTTTTGTATTTTTAAAAATGTCATACAGTTGGAATCATGTAGCACACAGCCTTTTCAGATTGGCTTCTTTCACTTGGTATGATGCATTTAAGGCTCCTCCTCATCTTTTCATGGCTTGATAGGTCATTTCTTTTTAGTGTTGAATAATATTCCTTTCTTTAGATGTATCACAGTTTATTTATCCTTTTACTTACTGAAGGACATCTTGGTTACTTTCAAGTATAAACATTCTTGTATAGGTTTTGGTGTGGACATGAGTTTTCAGTTCTTTCTGGGTAAATGCCGAAGAGCTTAACTACTGGATCAAATAGTTTTAGGAGTATATTAGTTTTAGGGCTGGGGTTGTGGCTCAGCGGTAGAGTGCTTGCCTAGCATGTGCAGGGTACTGAGTTTGATCTTCGGCACCACATAAAAATAAAATAAAGGTATTGTGTCTAAATACAATTAAAACAAAATGTTTTTTTAAAAAAAGAGTATATTAGTTTTTTAAGGCAGTGACTAACTGTCTTCTAAAGTGGTTGTGCCATGTGCATTCCTGCCGGCCACAGGGAAGGGTCCCCGTTCTGCATCCTCTCCAGAATGTGGTGTTGTCAGCTTCTGGATTTTGGCCACTGTTTTGGGTGTGCAGCGACATCTTATTGTCTTGATTTATATTTCTCTAATGACTTATGATGGGGAGCATATTTTCATATACTTAATTGCCATCTGCACGTCTTGTTTGGTCAGGTATTTGTTGAGGTCTTTGGCCCATTTTTTGGTGGGTTTGTGTGTGTTCTTATGGAGTTTGCAGAGTTCTATGTTATACTTTGGATAACAGTCCTTTATTAAATGCATCTTTTGCAAATATTTTCTCTAGGTCTATGTCTCATCTTGTGATTCTCTTGGCGATGTATTTAGCAGAGTAAGAACTCTTAATTTTAATGAAGTGTGGCTTGTCAATTATTTTTTAGTCAATAATACCTTTGTTGTTGTATCTAAAAAAATCATTGCTATACCCAAGGTAAGTTTTCCTCCCATTTTATCTTTTAGGAGTTTTATTGCTTTACATATTATATTGTGATCCACTTAGGAGTTAACTTTGGTGAAGGGTCTCCAGATTAAGTCTTGTCCAGATTCTTTTCTTTTTCATGTGCATGTCTGGTTGTTTGAGCAACATTTGTTGAAGACTGTCAACTGTCTTTGCTCCATTGTCTTGTCTTTGCTCCTTTGTTAAAGATTAGTTGATTATATTCATGTGGATCTGTTGTGGGATCTTTGTTCTGTTCCACTGATCTATTTTTCTATTGGCAAACGGTCTTGATGACCATAGCTTTGTGGCAAGTCTTGAAGAAAGGAGTGCCAGTCCCTCTGACTTCGTTCTCCTTCACTGTTGTGTTAGCTATTCTGGGTCTTTTGCTTCTCCATAAAAACTTTAGAATCATTTCGTCAGTTTCCACAAAATAACTTGCTGGTATTTTTGTTGAGACAGTATAGAATCTATAGATCAAGTAGGAAAGAAATGATGCTCAACAATATTGAGCCTTCCTGTCTATGGACTCTCTCTCAATTTATTTTGTTCTTTTTTTGATTTTGTTCATCAAGTATTATAATTTTCCTCATATAGATCTTGTACATATTTTATCAGATTTCTAAGTAATTCATTTTGGGAGGGTGCTAATGAAAGAGTAGTATGTCTTTACTAACAAATTCTACAGGAAGGCAGCTGATTGTGTATATCGACCTTTGATCCCGTAACCTTTTCTGTGATCACTCATGGGCTCCAGGATTTTTTTTTTTCCCCAGGCTTGGTCATTTCTTTCAGGTTTTCTACACAGGAAGATCATGTTATCTGTGAAGAAAGTTCGTTTTACTCCTTCCTTCCCAATCTGTATGCCTTTTGTTTTTGAACTTGTGATGTGATGTTGAACAGGAGTGGTGATGGGGAGCATCATTGCCTTATTCCTGATCTGAATGAGGAAATGTCTTATTTCTCACCCTTTAGCATGATGTTAGCTGTAGGGTTTTGATAGTTAAAGAAATCCCCCTTTTCCTAATTTTCTGAGAGGATTTTTAAAATTATTACCATGAATGGAAGTTAGAATTTGTCAGATTTTTTTTCTTTTTCTCTTTTTTTTTTTTTTTTTTTTTACTGTATATGTTGATACAGTCGTGTGACTTTTCTTTTTCAGCCTATTGATGTGATTGTTCTTATGTTGAACTAGCCTTGCATCCCTGGGTTAAATCCCACTTAGTTGTGTGGTATAATTCTTTTTATATGTTCTTGGATTATACTTACTAAATTTTGTAGAGGGGTTTTCATCTATATTAATTAGGGATAGTCTATACTTTTCTATATACCTTCATATGCTTTTGGTATTTAGGGTAATGCTGACCTCATAGAAAGAGCTAGAAAATATTTCTTCTTCTGTCTTCCTGCTTCTATCTTCTTAAAGTGTCTATAGAGAATTGGTATAATTTCTTCCTTCAATGTTTGGTAGAATTCACCAGCAAACCCATCTGTGCCTGGTACTTTCTGGGCCTGGAACATTCTGGCTTTGCAAATTGATTAATTATTGATTCAGTTTCTTTAATATATAGACCTATTTAGAGTGTCTTCTTGTGTGAGTTTTGGCAGATTGTGTCTTTCTAGGAGTTGTCCATTTCATTTGGGTTATCAAATTTGTGAGCATACAGTTGTTCATAGTATCTTTTCTTATCTCCTTAGTGTCCCTGGGATTAGTAGTGATATCCTCTTCTTGAGTTTGGATATTGTTAATTTGTCATTTCCTCCCCTTTGCTAGCCTGACTAGACGCTTAATGATGTCATTGATCTTTTCAAAGAGCCAGCTTTGGTTTCCATTGATCTTTCTCTCTTACTTTCCTGTTTTCTGTGTCATTGCTTTCTGCTCTTTTTATTACTTCTGCTTTTTGTATGTGTATTTAATTTGCTCTTCTTTTTTCTAGTCTCTTAATTTAGATTGTTGATATAAAAGATTTCCCCTGAGCACTGTTTTTGGTACATCACACAAATTTTGATAAATCATGATACCATTATCATTTAGTTCAAGCTCCTGAGAGCTGGAGATATAACTCAGTGGTGCTTGCAAAGTATGTGTGGAGCTCTGGAAAAAATAATTTTTGTAAGCTTCTCTTGAGAATTCCTCTTTGAACCCTGTGTGATTATCAGTCTAGTGGATTAATGAGCACCATATTTGTTACTACTTTCTATTTACTGCCCTGTTTTTTTGTTCTCATTTTGTATTCTGTTTTTTGGTAGGCTTTTGTGCCAACAGCCTTTGGATTGTGAGCTTCACAAATGTTTCTTTTTTCTCCCAATTAGGTAGGACAGGACGGCTAGAATGAGCTTGAATTGGGTATTTCTCTTTTCCCACGTATAAGGTTACAGGTTTTTTCTTCTCCAATGTGGAAGGCTATTGCTGACTGCAGTTGGATATCTTTTCCTGAAGGTCAGTTAACTTTCCTGAAGGTCTGATGACATCCCAGAAGGTTAAGGTGTATTAACTATCTTCTCTGGAGGACAGGCTTTGTTAAGAAGAGTAGAGTGTTCTGGAGTATTCTGGAGTGTTTCTTTCCTCCTCCTCCTGCTAGAAGCATGAGAGGACTTTTTTCCCCCAATATTTACTCCTGATGAAAAACTCACAAGCCTGCAGGTCCCCGAAGACTGAGTCCTGCTGGAGTTTCTGAGTCTCGGACTTGCCCACATGGAGCCTCCAGCCGTTGGCCATGGTCCAGGTTTTCCTGTCCCGGCACTGGGCCTTTTAGCACTTCCTGCTTCTGAGTCTGTTCTGGAAAGTGATGAGCCGCTGAATTCTCATCTCCCCAGCCCTGGGGCGGCATTCTCTGTGTTCTTCCTTCTCTCACAGAGACAAGTTATTGACCTTGTTCTGCTTTAATCCTGTATATTAGCCTACAGAGTTCAGCAGCAGAAATGGCAACTCATTAAACAGTTTCTCACGCCAAAAATTACTTGTCATGACAGAGTGGTAGCTTCAGGCTCTTTATGTGTGTAACCAGAAACCAAAAGTCCACAGGGTTTTTTTTACGAGAAAACGGAAAGAACTTATATACTTTTTCTCTTTGAGACTTTTTTTTCCTGTCTTGAGTAGTATTGTATTGACTATGTATCTTCTAAAGGAAAATACTAAGGAATTTAATGTCTTGAAGTACTCTGGTTAAAAACGTGTATGAGGTAACTTGTGCCCATCAGATTTCAGTGTGAATAGTTATTTTTACTTGGATATAATTTATTTGTTTTGAGTTTAGTATATGATGAAGCTCATTTAGTTTTACTTTTCAAGCATTTGAGAATATACTCATTTGTTAGGTACTCTCTTTTTAAATATGTTTTCCTAGAACACACTGGAATAGCTAAAAGAATAGGTGTTTTACTTGTTCTCATGATAATGAAGAAGCAGTTATGATAATCCTGTGTATTAGCCTGCAGAATTCAGCAGCAGGAATGGTAACTCATTAAACAGTTGCTCAGGTCAAAAATTACAAATCTGTAATTTCTTTGTCCTATAGTTTTTCCACAAAATAAGACTATAGCCAAAAAAAAAAAAAAAAAAAGCATTTGCTAGATGCAGAAAATGTAGGTCACAAATGAGTAATAGGTCATTACTGTGTGAAATGCATTGAAAGCTGTGACCAATGTTTCAAAGGCTTTTGTCATCTCAGTAGGACATGGTGTGTGAAACAGTCCTGCAGAGAATGTCTCAGCCTTTAAAAAAAAAAGAAAAGAAAGAAAGAAAACATTCTTATTCACGTACAGTTTGTATACTGCAAACTTCGATTGCCTTATCTTTTCAGTTTGTACATATACACACACAGATACATTACAGACTGAACTACAGGTCAAACATGCTCTGTTTTTAAACTTTGAATGCTTTAGGGCAAAGTTCAGTTAATTTCTGTAGAAACAAAAGCCAAATCTATGCAAAAGATTTATTTCTAATAACTCAGTAGGGTATTCAGTACTGTGCCAGATTCCAGGGGTACTCTTGCCTTCATGTTTTAATCTATGAATAAAGATTGTCAATCCTTTTATTCAAAACATTGTATACCAGAAAGAGACAGGGAAAAATGTTGGCATTTTCCAAGAATACCACTGTTGAGAAATATACAGGAAATTGAAAAACAGAAATAGGTTGGCTGCATTAATATTGATTATCATTCTCATTTTTCTTCAAGAAATTTAATGGATTAAACTGTTTCTGAGTTAAAACTGGAAAGATTTTTTTACCTCATAAATTTTTATATTATTACATCTTAATAATTACGATTTACTTGAGGGGCTAGGGTTGTGGCTCAGTGGCAGAGTGCTTGCCTAGCATGTGGGAGGCTGGGTTCTATTCTCAGCACTGCGTGTAGATTAAAAAAAAATAAATAAATAAAGGTCCATTGACAACTATAAAATAATATTTTAAAAAAAGATTTACTTGAAAAAGGCTCATACGTTAAATAAATTAATGTCATTGTAGTTAGAAAATTTAAAAATAAGATGTTCCATTTTGAGACATTTCTTAAGTAAACAAAGCATACAGAGCCTTACTCAATTCTTCAAGTAATAATTAAGCACTTTTTATGTGTCCACCACAGCAAAGGAAACAAGTAACTAATAGGAATCAAATGTTTATTACTCTTTTTTTTAAAACATAGATGGAACTAGACACAGCATTAAGTGACCTGGAGGCCGCAGATTTTGCAGAACTGGTAAGAGGAGGAGGGGAAAGGGTCAATATTAATTCTTATTATGTAAATCAGTCAGTATTCTAAGTATTTACCAAGTGGACTTTTGTAATAATCTTGAAAAACACAACATTATGCCTTTTTTTGACACTGGCAAAACCTGTTTTGTTTGCCTTAAGGTTTTTCTACTCAATGGAAAATATTTGTAACCTAGTATGTAATATGACATTAAAAATGACTAATAACAATGGGTGTTCTTAAGAATGAGGCTTCTTGGGTTGGGGTTGGGGCTCAGTGGTAGAATGCTTGCCAGGCATGTGTGAGGAACTGGGTTCAATTCTTAGCTCCACATATAAATAAATAAAAATAAAATTCTATTGACAACTAAAAGAAATATAAAAAAATGAAAAACAAAGAATGAGTCTTCTTGAGGAAAGGAAATGTAGATGTCACATTGATCAACTTAAGTGAGAGTCTTTTATTTCTAAATTCAACTTGGAATTGTCAGAATGTTGTTTGTAATCTTTGAAAAAGTATATTTCCTTGCTCTGTCCAATGGAAAGGACAAGAAACAGTGACCATTTTAGCAATAGTATCACTACCCAGGCCATGGTGTATAAATGATATTTCTCATCAAAAGGAACCAGATTCCTCAGAAAAATGGCTCATTTCAGATTTGGGGCTGAAAATATATAAGTCTGAGAATATCATAACTTATAAAAAAATCCGGAGTGCTTTAAAAAATTACTGGGGATATATATATGATGGGGCTAGAATTGTCAGAAACCACCTCAGAGGGGCTCTCCCTTGAGCCTGCAGAAGGATAGTAACTGCAATCGATTAGAATAGATCTGATATGTTTAAATCCCAGAGTTCATAATGATACAAGAGGAAAAATAGGAACTTATTGATTAACTTTGGAAAATGCTAGGGAATGAACTCGTTTTTGTGAAAACTAGTAAATGAAGAAGAATCAAGTATTTATTCTGCCTTTCCTCTCTGAACTGTATATCAAAATACCAAATAAAGATGGAACGAGTCCACCTAACAACATGTTCAGAAAGAATGACAGAATTGGAATATTGCCATTGTGTAGTCCCTCAGTGATCTAATGATCTAGAAATGGTCATCAGTAGCTGTTAATATCACAGAAAGAATGACAGCCAGAGAGTACCTGGTTGCTGATGGAAGGACACAAACCACCCATGAGGCCTCAGTTCCTAACTACCAATTACAGGAAATGTCATTAAAATGGAACATGTTAATGACCCTATTGAGGTAAGGGAGGTTACAGTCAGCAAAATTCAGACCTGGAAACATAGGACTGTGTCTTCAACAAATAAACCAGAAAAGTGTGAGTGAGGCAAGGGGAGAGGGGAAAACTTGAGAGAGAAAGCTCTGTGTCAGTTATGAAAGACTTAAGCATGTCAACCAGGACAGCATATGGCCTTTCTTGGATCATGATTTAAGTGAACTTTTAAAAAACTTTTTTTTTTTAATATTTATTTTTTAGTTTTCGGCGGACACAACATCTTTGTTTGTATGTGGTGCTGAGGATCGAACCCGGGCCGCACGCATGCCAGGCGAGCGCGCCACCGCTTGAGCCACATCCCCAGCCCCTTAAAAAACATTTTTAAAAAATATTTATTTATTTATTTATTTAGTTAGTTTTAGGCAAACACAACATCTTTATTTTTATGTGGTGTTGAGGATCGAACCCAGTGCCCCACGCATGCCAGGCGAGTGCGCTACCACTTGAGCCACATCCTCAGCCCACTAAAAACATTTTTAAGATAATCAAGGAAACATAAATCTAATGACGAATGTTAGATGAGAATAATTCTTGAGATATGATAATGGTATAATGTTTATATTTTAAATTCCTTCTGTTTTAGAGATACATTCGGAAGTATTGCAGATGAAATGATATATCTGGTATTGGTTTAGAAATAATTTAACAGAAGGAGGAAAAAGAGAGGGACATAGATGAAACAAGATGAGCTAGCTACTGGTCATAGTCAAAGTGGGTTGATGACAGGACAACATTCTCTTTTTGTATCCATTAAAATTTCAGTATAAGTATTCTTTTAAAGAGAACAGGAGCCAGGTTCAATGGTGCACACCTGTAATTTCACCTACTTAGGAGGCTGAGGCAGGAGGATCAAGGCTTAGTAATTTAGAGAGACCCTGTCTCAAAACAAAATTTTAGAAGTGCAGGGAGCAGAGAATGTGTAGTTCATGATAGAACTTGCCTAGCATGAGCAAGGCCCTGGGTTCAGTCCCCAGCACTGTAAACACACACACACACACACACACACACAAATAAATAAATAAATAAATAAAGTAACTAGAAAGTGAGGAAATAGAAGGCCTTAGGGTTGGATCATCCCCAAGAAGATTGCTAGTGAGAGTGGGGAAGGAATGTTAGCTTGAATAGGAGGCTGAATCCCTCATTAAGATCCTGAGCAAGTGGAAGGGAGTTTTGTTTCTAAGAATGGAAATTCAACCAAGGTTGTAATTTTTTTCACTGTTGGAGAATGTTTAGATGGAGAATAATTATTAGGAACAGTTTAGATCTAAAGTGTTAAAATATCAGTTTTTAAAACTTACAACCAATAGGTTTAATTTAGAATCTATCTCTGTAGAACATCATTTTAATGAGAGTGGAGCTAACAGTATTTTCTATGGTTAGAAAAGGATTTATTGGGATACCTGGGGTATAAGATCAAAAACACAATCAATAAAGAAAAAATAACAAAATGAGAATGTAAAACGGTACAACTACTTTGGAAAACTGTGTGGAAGTTTTTCTTTAATCCAAATATATACCTCATAAGATTCAGCCATCCTATTCACATCTGTTTACCCAAGATAAATAAAAGCATATGTTGCTGTGGACCAGCACGACATCATTTCAGAAACTGGAGGGGCCAGGAGGGGATGAAGAAAAGCCAAACACTCGCATATAGAGAAAAAGCTGGGCCATAGTGGGAAAGCCGAGCCCTAGTGAAGCTTGACTAACACCAGAGCCAGCTCAGCACGTTTATTATATAGGTTTGTCATCAGAATGTTTTTTGTGAGGAAGTTTTAGCAGAGCAGGCAGCCTGAAGGATACAGCAAAACTTACAAGACATCGAAGTCATCTTGTTATTTCTAGAATTCTCAATCTTCCTGGGAGTTGGTGTCTGAATCCAAGGTTCCAACTGTCAGAGCTGCACCTTTGCACTTAGCCTGCTGTGGCTACTGTTACTATAACAACTGGGGCATCTGAACCTGCACTTTTGGACAGGCAGCTCCCAGTGTAAATGCAGCCATGAGGGAATCAGAGACCATGGTTCAAGTCACCAGTGTCCACAATATGTATTGCAGAAGCCTACACATAACTCTTCATGGCAGCTTTGTTTGTGATAACCAAAAACTAGAAATAATCCGAATGTCTATCAACAGGTGAATGGACAGATAGATTGTGTTATATCCGGCATTGGATACCACTTAGAAAAACCACTGGGGTGGGGGATGCATTAATGGACTCTTCTTGTCTTCATTGTGGTGGCACTTAAGCAACTGTATGCATTTGTTACAACTCACACAAGGGTTCACAGTGAATTTTACCTTAATATAAAAAATGAAAAGGGAGAATCTATCCTAAACTTTTTGTGAAGTTTGTTTAAAATTGTATCATATTTTTTTAATTTGTGTTCTTCAGTTTAAAAAAATTTTTTTATTAAGGTTCAGTTTATACTTAGTGAATTCTTCTTCCCCTTTATAGTCAAATCCTCTTTCTACCTTCTGTCACTTGCAACCACTAGTCTGTTTTCTCTTCCCATGATTTTACTTTTTCAGGATGTCACATAAGTTGAATCTGTAGTATGTAATTTTTGTCTAACCTCTTTCTCTTAGCATAAGGAGTTTGAGATTCATCTATGTTGTATGTATGAGAAAGTTTAGTCCTTTTATTGCTGAGTAGTATTCCATTATATGGATGTATCACAATTCCCCAGTTGAAGCATATTTCATTTATTTCCAGTTTTTCATTTTCTTTAGGTTAATTAATTATAAAAGTCAAAAACAGAAATTGGGTGAAGATGTTATTAAAAGCAGAAGTCCTCCCATATCCTTCTCCCCCATTTCCATTCCCAACTATAACTGCTCTGATAGTTTAGAATGTGTTCTTCTAGACCTTTTTTTGAAATTCTTTTTAATTTTATATGACAGTAGATTGTATTTTGACATATCATTCACACATGGCGTATAACTTCCCATTTTTGTGGTTGTATATGATGTGGAATTACACTGGTCATGTATTCATATATGAACGTAAGAAAGTTATGTCCGATTCATTCTTCTGTCTTTCCTATTCCCAACCCATTCTCCTTCCTCCCACTTCCCCCATCCAACCTGGTGAACCTCTACTCCCCCACCCCAACCTCAGCTGACCTATTGTGAATTAGCATTCACATATTAGAATATTCAGTCTTGAGTTTTTTGGGATTGGCTTGTTTCACTTAACATGATAGTCTCCAGTTCCATCCATTTATCAACAAATGCCAGAATTTCATTCTTCTTTATGGCTGAGAGTATTCCATTGTGTATAAATACCACAGTTTCTTTATCCATTCATCTGTCAAAGGGCACCTAAGTTGGTTCCATAGCTTAGCTATTATGAATTGAGCTGCTATAAACATTGATGTGGCCGCGTCACTACAGTATGCTGATTTTAAGTCCTTTGGGTTTATGCCAAGGAATGGGATACAAGACCTTTTTCTATACATATACATTTACATGCATAAACCAACGTGTGTATACATATATACATGTTTATAGTTGAAGAGGGGATGCTATATTTAATGAAAATTGGATCTAGTGAATATTATATTCTGCATTCTTTGCTGAGGAAGATATTCTAAAAATTCTTGTGCTTGTTTATATAAATCAGCCTTATTTTTAAACTATCTATATGATAGTCTATGACTTTACATATCTAATTTAAATCTAATCATTCCTCCATTAATGAATTCCACATCATCTCTTACTTTTCCATGTTCCAAATAATTCTGTTATTAACTTTTATGTAAAAGTCTTGATTCTCTTATTTAAATATTTCTGTACTTTCTAGAAATGGAATCACTCAAAGAGTATGTGTATTTAAATTTTATTTTACATGTCAACTCAGTTGCCCACAAATTGGTTGTACCAATTTGTGTTTCCAAAAATAGTATATGGTAATACTGGATATTTTAGATGATGTATAATAAAAGATTTTTGTCCTAACAGATTGGTTTTAAGAAATCTCAAATGGGATAAACAAATTTTATATGCTGGTCCTAATCAGTATTTATTTATTTATTTATTTGGTACCGGCCGTTGAACTCAGGAGCACTCAACTACTAAGCCACATCCCCAGCCCTATTTTGTATTTTATCTAGAGACAGGGTCCCACTGAGTTGCTTAGTGCCTCACTTTTGCTGAGACTGGTTTTGAACTCTTGATCCTCCTGCCTCAGCCTCCCAAGCTGCTGGGATTTCAGATGCGCCACAGCTCAATAATATTTTATAAGAACCAAAACTAAGGTTGTTCTCAAATAAATATATACTTGTATTTTACCCTAATACTCTCAAATGTTGATTTCTAAAGAGGACATTATGAAAAGTTTAGGAAGGAAAGAATGTAACTTCTGTGTTGACTAATGTTGCTTAAGGAACTATTTCTCTCTCTCTCTCTCTCTCTCTCACACACACACACACACACACACACACACACGTGCCACAATATAAATCCACTGTGATTTTTCTCCCCTCAGTCTGAGGATTACTATGACATGAGACGGCTATATACAATTTTGGGCTCTTCTCTATTTTACAAGGTAAGTTGAAGTTTGCATTTTTAATAATATCCAACGCCTGCATGCACAAATCTAAAGGAATTTTTCTCAAACTTTTACACATGAAAACTAAATCTATCTCTTTCTCTGTGAATGTAGGTACCTTAAGATTAAGATCTTAAAACAAGTATTATACCTACACATTTATAAATATAGTAAATACTTATAGTTTCATTGCATAGTGTAGCATTTAAAAATGTGTAAAGGAGAAACAATACTCAAACCAATTATGTAGGAAAAAAGGTTAATTCTTTCTTGATGTCCTTTTGCAATAGTATGTTTTTTATTCTGACTTCAGAAGTAACCATCTATCTTTTAAGGAAATCCTATAATATTTATTAAGTATTAAGTATTTGGTTTCCAGGGAGAACACGTTAAGTATCAGATGAATTTAATAAGTTTCTGTCCACCTTGACCTCTGCTTCTCTATTTCCCATTTTCAGAATGCAGTTCTTTTCTAATTTTGACACTCGGGCTAATACCTCAGAGGCAATTTTGCTTTATGCTAAAAGTCTAGCTTTTGGGTACCTTGTTATTTAATATCTAGCTTGACCTCAGGGGAGAAAAACATTCACTTATGCTATATCTTACTTTACTATGTTTGAATATAATAAAATATTGAATAATAAAATATTATTTTATTTGAATAATAAAATATTTCATGTCATCTGAAGAAGCATTTATAAAACTCTAGGAAGTATAGGATTATTGCTTGGTATCATTAGCTGACTTTTGCTCTTGGTGGTTAAATTCAAGGGTTATTTGATATGCAGTCATTTGCCTAAGGATGATCTTGTTGAGATTGCCACGTACTGTCGCCACTATGGCCTGCTGTCTTTAGCAGCAAAACAAAGGATCGGTCAGTTGATAGTATGGAGAGAAGTGTTTCCTCAACATCACCTCCAGCTTTCTGCAGACTCAAGCACAGAAGCCTTTCAGGAACCGGAAGGGAGATATTTTTTGCTAATTGTTGGATTGGTAAGTTCACCTGGACTTCTTTCTTGAGATTGTTTTCCCCATCTGTTTATGTCTAAATAAATACACAAACATGCCCATTTAAAACTATGTATGTATTAAACACAGAATTCAAAAAGTTGTTATATAGCCTTTACTTCTTTTAGTTTATATTCCTTTAATATTCATAAAGAAATACTAATAATATCCAGGAAAATATTTTAGCAGGTTCTGAACACTTTTGTTCCCCATCTTATGGGGGTTTTATCCTCTGGTCTGTTTTGGAATATAAAGGAAGACATAAAAACAATGTAGAATTAGAAATGGAATAAATACATAATCGTAAATGAGAGAATTTCTTGTCAATGGGGCTCTTTCAAAGCCGCTCTAATGAATTCTTTGTACCAAGAGAAATGATTGATAGTATATCAAAATATGATAATGTGAAGCCAGGTGCAGTGGTGCGTGCCTGTAATCCCAGCGGCTTGGGCAGCTAATGCAGGAGGATTGCAAGTTCAAATCCAGCCGCAGCATTAGTGAGGACCTAAGCAACTTAGCAAGAACCTGTCTCAAACAATAAAAGAGTTGGGGATGTGGCTCAGTGTTAAGTGCCTCTGGGTTCAATGCCTGGTACAGAAAAAAAAAAAAAAAACAATGTGAGATAGTTTTTAACTGTAATCAAGAAGCATTGATAATCTTGCTGCTTTATAAAAATATGGCTTCTCATTAAAAAAGAAGCAGCGCCGACAATAACTTAAGAAGGAGGAATTTTTAATAATCATCACATAATCATGCCATATGCCAACATCTTTTATAGTATTCATAAATGTATACATATTATATGTAACTGTTTTCATGGTGGCTAAACCTATGTCAATAATCTTCTTTTATAGAGACATTATATGTTATGTGTGCTATTAGAAGCTGGAGGCTGTGCATCTAAAGCTATTGGGAATCCTGGGCCTGACTGTATATATGTGGACCAGGTCAGAACAACTATTCACCAGCTGGAAGGAGTAGACTCCCACATAGATAAACACCTAGCGTCTTCTCCAGGCCCCTGTTTGTCTTGTGCTGACTGGTTCCTTTCTGGAGCACGTGAGAAAACTGAGAATTTGACAGCTTCCCCTATTCTCAGCAGGCTGCAAGGTCCTTCCAGGACAGCAGCCTCTCCAACATGCAGAAGAACCCTTTTTGGTGACTATTCCTTAAAGACACGTAAGCCCAGTCCCTCCCGAAGCAGTGGAGGATCTGACAATGGTTGTGAAGGTGGAGAAGGTGCTGGCCTTAGCCTCCACACCACACCGGATGCAATACAAAAGCAGAGAGACTTTCAGGGCTCTGATTGTTCAGAAGAAAGTGGAACCTTGCTTAAGGTGCGTGTTCATCCCAGTGTGTACATTCTAGGAACGAAGCTGTCTCTCTAGTTCTAATTGCAAGAAAATAATTGCAAGAAAAATTTTTAATGGTAATTAGTCTTCATTTGAAATAGTGATTATTTTAGTCATTGTTGGGTAACCAAAGATTTAAAAAGCAAAAAGAGGAAGGAACATCAAGTAATGACAGGAGCTGCCCAACGTGCAGGGTGTCTACCCAGCAGTACCTACAGATAGAGGAGCTCTTGAATCTTAATTTCCATATTCATCTCTTTCTATTCGTGATGATAAAAGAGCACATCATGGCTATGGAGCGTTTGAGGGGCTGATTTAACAATATAGCCGTGAAATATTCAGCAGAAACAAAAAGAGAATTCAAATGTGTGTGTGTGTGTTTGCCTGTTTTTTATAGATAGGTATTTTTTATCTGTATTTATAAAGATCTGGTCTCTATACATAGAGATATACAATGTGACTGTAAAGCCAAGAGAATGTTCAATTTTCAGATTGTTTATTTTTCTGGATTTTTTTCCCATGAAACTACCATGAAATATCCAAATCATTATCAAAACATTCATCCTGGAAAGCTCTCTACTTAGCTAGTGATGCTGTTTTCTTTTGAAACGTGTTTGAACTTGCCATCTGGGTGGGTGGAGGTGATGCCGGTCAAGGCATGAAGAAGATGGAGAACTGGCGCCAGTGGAATACGGGATTTTGAGTGGCCTGACGTAGATGACCATAGACTCAGGCTTCTCACTCCTAACTACAGGGTTCTGTCGGAGAAGTTAGTGGAATGTATTTAGGAAGTACTGATTTTGTGTCCATTATCTCAGTTGATGAAATTGATAGGAAATATAGTCCAAGAGAATATGGATAGATTTTAAAATAACAAGATCATAAATGGCACTTTAGAGAAATTCAGTTAACTTTAAGATTCAGCCATTCAACAAATGTTGATACCTGCAAAGTACCAAGGGCTGTACTATACAAAAGAGATATGAAAATGAGTAAGACACAGCCCTGACTTTGAGAAGTGTAGAGCCTAGGGAGGGAGATGGGTATGCATGCACATAAGCTTGGTGATGGCTCTGGTGAAGGAACACCAGCATGCCTAGTTATGGCATAGCCCTTGGATCCTATTTTGCAAAGGCTAAGCCAAGAGGTGGAAGTTAGCATCAAAAATATTTAAAAGAAGCATTGCAAAATATAAAGTAGTTCTCTTAGAAGGATTTTTAATTTTTAAATCACTTCTGCTGTTTGATTTTGTTCTTAGATATAAACTGATCTACGTAAATATTTTCCAGATCACTAAAAAAAAGTCTACCCTTCCAAATCCATTTCATTTGGGAAATTTGAAAAAGGATCCTTCAGAAAAAGAATTGGAAATATATAACACAATGAAGTAAGAAACTTCCTTCTAATATACTTTTTATCTTATGCTTTCTGTCTTTGAGAAAGTTTTACAATAAGAAAATACAATTTCGGGCTGGAGATTTTAGCTCAGTTGGTAGAGTGCTTGCCTCATATGCACAAGCCCTGGGTTCAAATCCCAGCACTATAATGTTTCATTACACTTAGGAAAATGAACATATTCATATTATAAGAGGGAAAACACACAAATATTTCAAAACAGAAAAATTCCCCTTCATCTCTCTTTCACAGGTAACTTCACTTTTGTATGCCTAATATTATTTTTAAATTAAGTTTTATTTATTTATTCATATTGTATTTGATTTGTACTGGTTATTGAACCCAGGGGCACTTAACCACTGAGCTCACTCAGTTGCTTAGGGCCTAAGTTTCTGAGGCTGGTCTTGAACTTGTGATCCTCCTGCCTCAGCCTCCGGAGTCACTGAAAATCCAAGTATGCACCACTGATCTTGGCCTTTGAGTTCACTAATTTTAGACTCTGGTGGATGCCAAGTTATCCCTTAGCTCAGGGCACTCACCGCCAACACCTTGGAGTGGTGGCTGCTAGTGTCTCAGGGCCAAGTTCCTACCCTAGAGAATAGCCCCTTCTAAGTCTGCCAGATAAGGGAGTGCAGAGGTTTGGTCCTTGCGCAAATTCAAGACAGCTCTGAGAGTCCGTCCAAGCTTCACATTTCAGCTTCTCCCTCTGCTCATTCCTGCTTCTGCTCCCTCTACCCCCAAGAGTACACACCACCACCTCTCAGAGGCTGGGACCTGGGAACTGTTAATAGTTATAACATCCTTTGTAGAAAACCTCGAACTTATTTTGAGGAGGAAATTCTGAGATAAAAAGGACTGAGTGAAGAGGGAATGTTTAGCAGCTTAAACTGTGTCAGTAATTGCAAAATAAAATGTTACATTTTCACTTCTTGTAGGGCAGGTACTATGTGATAGACAGGCAGGTTAGCCTGAGCCTTGCTTGGTATATAATTATGATGTCATGTGTGAGATCAATTGCACACTTTTGCTTAAGCATCTAGACATTCAGAAATAGAATTCACACACACACACACACATACATACACACACACACACACACATACACAAACACACACACACAAACACACACACACACACACACGAGTGCATAGCGACTACGCTCTTAATTATGGAAATATTTTTAACAAGTTAGCAAGTTCAAATCTTGGAGTTTCCAGGAAATGCTTTTCCCTGAAAGTTAGGGCAAAAATAGGGTAATTTGTCTTCATAAAATAATTCGTTAGAAATCTATTGTGTTAAAATTGGGTATTTAAGGCCTTCACATATGAATGATTTTTTTGAAATATTTATTTCTTAGTTGTAGGTGGTGGACACAATATCTTTATTTCATTTTTACGTGGTGCTGAGGATTGAACCCGGTGCCCATGTGTGCTAGGTGAGCGCTCTACCACTGAGCCACAACCCCAGCCTCTGAATGTTTATTTTTAATAGTTATAAAAATGTCCTTTAAACAATTAAATCTGAAACAAACTTTTTATGGAACCCTAAAGTACCTTCATAAAACCCTAGTGTTCATCTAACAAGAACTACTGAAATTTTATTACTTCCTTATAATTTTTTAAAAATATTTGTGTTATTTTGGCATTATCTTTAGTAAATAGAAACTCTTCTTTCAAGTTCAGTAGCTTAAACAAATTCACATGTAATGTAAATCATAGGTTCTACTATTTTAAAAGACATCAAAGATATAAAATTAAAATATATATTAAAAATACTTTCTATACCAGACGTTTCATTCAGCAAACAAATGCTGTCCATTCTGCATTTCAGTAGTACTTGAATCCATTCAGCCCATTGATGCTTCCTGGTTTATGGTCCCTTTTTCTCTCCCTGGAGTCACTGCATTAGTCTCCCAGCCCCCAGCCCCCCTCCCCCGTCTATTCTCTCTCTGTAAATTTCTCAATCTATTCTCTAGTGCAGGAATGACCTTTCCAAAGATCAAATCTGAATTTATCTACTTTTTAATACAAATCTTTGTCTTCCTATTGGGTAATTGGTGATTTCTAAACTTTCAGTTAATATATGAACAAGTTTATGGCTTTCAAGAGCTAAACTTGCTTTTTGTGGATTATTTCTTTATGATTAGAGCTTTATGTAAGTTATACATAATAGTTGGGTTAATCCCAACAAACTCATGTGCATGTAAATGGATTTCAGTTCATGACCCTACCTTTTCCTTTCCCTCCTCCCCTTTCCCGTTCTCCTTCCTCTACTCTACTAGACTTCCTTTCACCCATCTGTTAATTTGAATTTGATTGGTTCTTTTTGTTATCCTGTGAATTTGTATTTGATTGGTTCTTTATGTTATCCTTCCCTCCCACTTTATTTTACTCTAGCTTCGTGTATGAGAGAAAACATTCAACCTTTGAGTTTCTGATTTTGGCTAGTTTCACTTAGTATGATGTTCTTATTTCCATCCATTTACTGGCAAATGCCATGATTTCATTCTTGTTAGTGGCTAAGTAGAACTCCATTGTGTGTGTGTGTGTGTGTGTGTATCATAATTTCTTAATCTATTGATGGCATCTGGGTTGATTCCATAATTTAGCTATCATGAATTGTGCTGCTGTAAACATTGATGCTGTAAAAAAATCACTGTAGTGATTTTTAGATCTTTTGGGGAAATACCAAGGAGTGGGATAGCTGGGTCATATGGTGATTTCATCCTTACATTTTTGAGGAATCTCCAAACTGCTTTCCAAAGTGGTGGTTGTGATTTATTTTTGAGAGAAAATTTATAGATCACAAAAATGTTGATTCTAACCTCCCAATCTTATTAATAGTTCTTTCTTAAGAATAATTTGTCTTCTGTGCCTTTTCTTCAATTCAAACACCTCTAGATTAAAATATGTTTTAAATTATTTTCCTTTTTTAGTCACTATACTTATTTTCATCATGACTATTTAAGATTTTATTCCTTGGAAGGTGAAGGTATCACCACTCTGTACATGGAATGCTCCATAAGAAGAATCAGTTTGGTAGTCTGCAGGCTCACAACTGCTTCCATCTCCTTTAAGAATTCTGTCCTACCTCACATATGGGCAGGTCATGGACGTGGTATAAGAACTGCCCTTACAGGGTAGTTATTAATGAGCCAGCCACCCTGCTGAGAAATGGGAGAACAACACACACAGGATTCCCTCCCTCCCAGTAGGTCTGTTTCCTAATCCCTGGTTTAGGAGACAAGAGGTTTATTTAGGTCATACTACCTAATTAATTAAAAATATAACAGGAACTTAACTAGCTGTGGCCTAGGTTCTAAAATATGCCTTTTCCCTGCCTCCGTACTTAACAGCTGGAGAACAATCAACCAAAGGTATTTTTTATTATAGATAGCCTTTATCACAAAAGTCTTGGAATGGTCAGCTTGAGTGTTTGAGATGTAGGAGGGAGTTGCCCACCATATAAAGACTGCCATTCAAGAGTCAGCAGTGGAGAATAAAAAATAAGGTATAGGAGAGCAAAGCTTCAAAGTCGGCTAAGCCCTGACACTTGGCTATGCAACTTCATTCAAGTTAATCCAAGCTCACTGACCATGGTTTCCTCATGATTAAAGTAAGGATGGTAATATTTAAGATCCTGCAGGGTCATTATGAAAATTAAAATAAAAGTGCTTCAAAAAGTTTGGCAGGTACATAGAGGATAGTCAGTATTTGATAGCTATTATTATTTTGTTGTTGCTATTATTGTTTTTCTTTAGCTTTTCTTACTATTGGCAGAAATAAGCAATATTTATAGATTCTGCTGACCTATCTAAGATTAAATAGGGAAGGAAAAATTGGGGGAAAAAATGAAAATATTAAGATCACATAGAGCAAGAATGTACTGAGAAGTGGCATAATAGTACCAGCTATTACCACAGTATTATAGATTAATCTAGCTTGCAGTTTGGTAATAATTTTATATCAGTTCAGAATCATTACTTTTATTATCATGGCAGAAGACTAATTTAAAGACCCATTTAGTTTTATGAAAGGTATTTTTATGTGTGGTTCACCTTGTTCATGGCTTGTAGCTATCTAGGCCAGACATCATCTGAGTTACCAACCATGGAAAAAGAGGGCTTGGCCAATTGGAGTGTTTAGCAAAGGGATGATTAAGTTACTTGGAAATGTATTGGTGTTTGTTTATCCTTGCATAATAGGTAGTGTTTGCCTCTATCAAGGAAATTAATAATAATCCAAGCCTGTTTAATTAAGGATGAAGAGGGGATTAAAATTAGATTTCCTTCCCGAATTGCACTACTAATTGTAAAAAGTCTACAGAATTCAAAATGAAATAATACTTTTAAATTTACTTGAATTTCTTTTTTCTTTTCTCTTTTCTCCCTGTCTTCCCTTCCCCCACCCTTTTCTTTTCGAGATTGACATCTGGTCCTGAGAACACACTTTTCCACTATGTTGCCTTAGAAACAGTTCAAGGAATCTTCATTACTCCTACCCATGAAGAGGTGGCACAGCTCAGTGGCTCTGTCCACTCACAGCTAATAAAGAATTTCCATCAGTGTTGTCTTTCCATTCGTGCAGTTTTCCAACAGACTTTGATGGAAGAGGTAAAATAGGTTTATAAATATAGTTTTTTGCCAATATCATTCCCAATCTCCACACACTCTGTAATCAGTATGTCCAGCAATGCATTCAAGGTTTTTTTGTTTGTTTTTTTTTTTTAACAATCAGCCAACCAATTTCAGGATTATACTCACTCAAGTTAATCTCAAAATGTTGTTTCATAGTAGAGTTAAATGTCCTATATTAGTATTTTAGGTAAACAGTGGACCCATGTTTTCTATAGCGAAGTAGAATATAGTAGTTTGTAATATAAATTAACCTCCCATATTTGATATCTGTGACTCAGCCATTAAGTCAGTGATATCTACCAATTGATTCCTAAAATAATTCTAATAATTCTGTGACTGTTCAACCAACAATACGGAGTATAATGGATTAAGGTATAGCTATGGACAAAATAGTATTGCAGATGTTTTAGCACTTTGTTCATTGATTACTTGCTTGCTTTTTAACCCAGGATGAAGTTTCATATAATATTGTTCCTGCTAGATAAGCACCAATGCAATGTGTAATTAAAATACCAGTTAGATTGTTTAAAATATCAGTTACATGCTAATTACTTGAAAAGGATAATCATACAAAAGTTTATTTGTGACTGATCAAACATCATACAGCCAAAAGACTTCTCTGAAGATGGCTATAATGTATACAGCAAGATGTAAGTGAGGGTGCCAGGTTTGTGCAGAACTTAAATTTAAAACTAGAACATTAGGCTGGGAATAAGGAATCCTGGACTGAGCCTCAGCTGTTTGCATTTCCTCAGCTATACAGGGTGGGCTCAGTCAGCAATAAAATTCTGTATCTTATGGGATTTCTTTGAGTTCTCAGAAATTTTTATTCTGCAAAAATGTTATGCTTACCATACCCCATGTACTGTAGGTTATTATGCTCCTCCTTTCCTATTTAGCATAACTGGTTAGATTCTGAACAAAAATATTACATTAACTTATTTGATAATATTTAGTAATATAAATTATTATTCCTGGTATCATTTAAGGATTTTTTTTTTTTTTTTTTTTTTTTTTTTGGTGGTGCTGGGAATTGAACCCAGGGCTTTGTGCATGCAAGGCAAGCACTCTACCAACTGAGCTATGTCCCCAGCCCTCCTGGTATCATTTAAAATGTTGAGATACTACTCTGCACCAGACTAGGTGCCTTGATTAAAGTGGGGACAAAACAAACTCTCTTCCCTGAAGCCTATTTTCTGATGGAGAAGATGAAGAAATTAGTAAATAATATATGGGGTATTTTAAGTGTCACAAGGAATAATAAAATGTGTAAAGATAAGAGATGTGTTACTATTTTAAAAAGCCTGGCTAATGAGGTCAAGTAGCATTTCAACAGAGGCAGGAAGGAGTGCTGGGGTGGCCGCATGGCATCTGGAGCCAAATGCAAAGCTAGAGTTTGGAGGGGCTGGGGGAGCTCATAGCCTCCTGATCAGGCCAAGAGTGGAAAGGAATGAGATTACCAATGCAGCAGGGCCTGAGACTATGACATGGCCTTCCGGGCTTTTTCTGAAACAGATGGAACATTGTTACATAGTTTCAGCAGAGGAAGGACAGGATACCCAGTTGTTTAAAGAACCCCTGGGACTCTTTTGGAAATCTGGTTGTAGGGTAGCAAGGATGGAGGCAGGGCCAGTTAGGAGACTATTAATATTTGAAAAGTGAGAAAGGATCACAACTTCAGGATTCTTGATGTTTTGGAGGATGAACCAAAATGATTTATTGTTGGATTAGAAGTTATGAGAGAGAGAAGAATCAAGAATCGCCTATTTTATCCTGAGCCTTATAAAAAAGTTTATATGTACCAAATGAGTAATTGTTTTGCTGATGCTTTCACAAATGGGAAATTTAAAGATTATGCTTCAAAGGAAGAGAAAATATTGTTTTAAATGTATGTGTTTAGGTTTATTACAAAATCTTATCCACTTAATATACATTCAGTAAGCTCCTACATTATATACAAGCACTGTTTCTTTTTAAATATATAGAAATGAATACATTGTCTCTGCCTTTGGAAAAAAGTTTACCGTCTATCTTCTATATGGGAAAACAGACCTACAAACTGCTAATGCAATATAATATAAATACTAAACAACATGGGGCTGTGAACAAAGTGTTCCCTGGGATCATCTGGGGCACTTTACCTGTGAAGTCTCCTTTAGGAAGTAGTATTGAGCTAAGTGTTAAGGAAGAGTGGAAACCGAAGGCAAAGGGAAGAAAGGCACTGCATGCACTTAGGATCAGCCATTTTGAATCTGGAGGTGAAAACGTTTTAAAGTAACATTATTAATTCCAGTTAATACCAACAATATCCACAATTTGCAGAAAAATAAGGCACTAAATGGTGGAGATCGTGCTGATTCTACAAATTCGCTGTCCTCTCTTAACCCTGTGAAGGAATATGGTGTGTTATTTGAATGCTCACCTGAAAACTGGACTGATCAGAAAAAAACACCACCAGTTATGGCCTACTGGGTAGTAGGGTAAGTAGGAAAAAGCTATTTGAAAGTAAAATAAAACGTTAGAAAAGTGAAAGACAAGTAGTACAGCAGATCAATGTTTTAAAACATAGGCATAAAATCAATCTAGCTATAATATTTTAACATTTTAAAGTTTTATTTGCTAAGTAACTCCTTTAAATCCCTCTAAAGACTTTCTCTACTTAAAAATTATTTTTTGTTGCCTTGCAAATCAAACAAGTAATAATCCACTATTATTCTCCAATTTCTGTCCTTCCTTCCTGACTTCCTTCTTTTCTTTCCTTTCATTTCCTCTTCTACTCCTTTTTTACATGTTCTACCCACTAACACCTGTCAAATCTTGTTCCTGCTATTTTTTCTACCTGGGATGTTGTATCCCTGACCCTTGCATATCTGGGCTCCTTGGTATTCAGACCAGGATTAGCAAGTTATCTCCTCAGAGGTTCTCCATTAAAGTAGCTAGCTACCCATTATTCACTGTCTGACCCTTTTATTGTTTCTTGTTTGCTTCTTGTCTAAGGAACTGAGTTTTGATGGACATATTGAAGGTTAAGTTGGAGAAAAGAGTTGTTGAGGAAAGGGCATAGGTAGGATTGAGGCTACTGGATACCTGCCATGTAGTACTAAGCTATATGATAAACAGTTTACAAACTGTATCATTTCCATATTCTGGTCCTTGGGATTTAGAATCACCTGAGTCACTTGTTAGAGTCGGAGTTGCCTGAGGCCCACCACGACCTACTGAATTCATGGAAGGAGGAATCTGTTTTTAGTGTATAAGCTCCCCTGTGATTGTGATGTGTAATCATCAGCCTTGAGAACATCAGCATAAAGTTAGTTCTGCGTTCTGCGTAGTGTATGGTCAGAGCTGTGCTATTAGAAGAACAACAGGAGCAGCCTGTGGAATGGTGTGAACTCAGGAGAGGCTACCAATGAGAAGACCAGTGGTTCCCTATCTATGTCCACAGCATGGGAACAGAAAGAATTAAAGGGGCTGAATTAGGATGATGCAGGTCTACATAAAGGAAAAATCCTAAGGAAATCAAACAGAACTAGCTCTCAATTTAAATTGATTGATTTACATGTGTTAATATTGTTTAAATATATTAATATATGAACTCTTGAAGAAAACCAAAATTTTAATGTTAATTCCAATTCAATACTGTCTGCAAAAAGAACCATCATATAGTTCATGTTTTAAGAATAAACTTTAGGGTCTGGGGATGTGGCTCAAGCGGTAACTCGCTCACCTGGCATGCGCGGGGTGCTGGGTAGCACCACATAAAAATAAAATAAAGATGTTGTGTCCACCGAAAAACTGAAAAATAAATATTAAAAAAAAATTCTCTCTTCTCTGTCTCTCTCTTTAAAAAAGAAAAAACTTTAGAAAGTGGCAATAAAATGTTTAGATACCTTCTGCACTTTATTGATGCCAGTGCTATATATTGTAGTAATAATAATGACTAGGTTTAATATTTTAAAATTTAAGGGTATGATAATATTTATGTATTGATAAAATAGGATTTTTACACTCTTAACAATAAAAATAATTAACCTAAGGCACATGTTATTTATTTAGAAATGAACTCTCTATAGTCTGTGATTTAGATTAGTGGTTTTTGAACTTACTACTAGTTCTTTCAAAAACATACAAAAAATAAAAGGAATTGAATTTGGTTTTTGTCATTTTCATTTCTGAAATGAATGTGTTCTTTTCTTCTGCAGGAGACTCTTTCTTCATCCAAAACCTCAGGAACTTTATGTCTGCTTTCATGACTCAGTCACAGAAATTGCCATTGAAATGGCTTTTAAATTATTCTTTGGATTAACCTTGTAGTTGTGTTTTTATGATTAATAGCAACATGAGTGACATGTGGAACAGTGTTAAAATTGCTGAAATCAATACACAAGAGATAATGTTTATTTTCACTGTTCAACATTGAACATAATATTGTTATTGAGATGAAATGCTGTTGGACTTGATGCATCAAGCCTTTTGTAGTATTGTGAGACATTGGAGAAGATAGTTGATTGAAATATATAGAAGGGAGTGTTAACTTATTGCCATTTTGGTATATAATATTAATTTATTGACTAGTTTGAAATAATGTAAATTGTTTCATATAAAGTTAATATAGAAAATGTTTATTTGGGAAAACACCCAATTTGTTGTTTATTTTTCTCAAAACTAGTATATTTGGTCAAAGAATCTTGAAATTAGGAGGAGGTGACCAGGTTCTGTAATAAATTAGGGCGGTGACCTCATGCAAGTTTTTGCACCTCTGAGGTCAGAGGTTTCATGTATAAATGCAATAACCTATTCTGAGGTTTTATGTAAAATGTGCTACCTCCCCTCGCCCTTGCCTTTGGTTAGTTCCTAAATTTGTAATGTCCAAACACTGATTTCTTTATAGGTCAAGTGCTCTTCACTAGTATAAGTATTTGAGTGGATACCTCACTGCAGAGGAGAAGGGAAAGATGAAAATCAAACTTAGTTTTTACTTATTTTTCTTTACTCTTTTAGATAACAATCTTAGTCTATTTTGACTCAGATATGTTTTTTAAATTATTTACCTATAAACATTCATTTTTATTTTTAAGGATATTCAAATATACATATACATATTTTATATAGTTCATGAAATTCAAGACAGTTATATGTAAATTGTTTTTAAAACCAAATCATGTTAAAAATACTGAAAAGAATAGCTGAAGAAATCCTATGGTGACTTCTTTTGTAAAATGCTCACATTTGTCTTACAAATAAGGATCATTAAATATTGGGTTTTCCAGATGGGGAACACTTGGATGAATAAGAGTTTATTTGACCTTCCATAGAGAAGGAAAAAAAAAAAACTAATTGGATAAGAATTTTCTTTGGCATGAGAATTTGGTAGGTTAAGGGAAAGAAAGGAAGAACATAACAAATACTGCATTTGTAGTTACCATGTACCAAGTAGGTCCTTCATCCACCTCAGATGCCCCCAAAACTTAACAATACTGGGTTGTTTTTCTTCAAGACTTAAGTGTTGGAAGAGCTGTACCAGCCCATATAAAATCAGTTTCTGCATATCACCTGCTTCAAACATGAGCGCTTCAGCTTGGAACTAATTACAGAACATTGTGGGTGCACCATTTAAGTCACTGATCTTAGAAAAAAATACTGTTATCTGTCATCAGTCTAAAAGATTTTCATCTGAGTATTTAAGATGCAAATCCCTGCATATTTATCTCATTAGGTACTTGGGGGCCTTGATTTTGACATTCAAATCAAGGTAAGAAATCTTAGTTCTTGAAATAATGTAAAAAATAGCTTTAAATGTCTTCCCCTTAGGATCACAATACTGAGCTGCATGGTAGACTTTTAAACTCTGTTGTAGGACTGCTTGTGTGCATATGTGTGTATTAAGGCACTTTATTTAAATATAGTCATTACATGGCTTAAGTTTCTGTATGTGTCCTCCCCAACTATCAGCTGTTTCTAATACTGGTAGTTATTAATAAGTAGAGCCATCAATCACCTCAGGTTTTTGACAGACTGCACCAAGACTTGATATTTTAACACAAGGAACTTTCTTTCATTTAATGAAATTCTGGTCTGCTTTCTTAGTATCAAGCAATCGTGAGGCATCACTCAATAACTGAAATAAAAAGGCAAAGCAGACTGCTGGTCTTTTGTGTTGCTGTTCTTTTTTAGTTATATATGACATAGAGTGTATTTTGACATACGTATACATGGTGTATAACTTCCCATTTTTGTGGTTGTACATGGTGTGGAGTTACACTGATCATGAATTCATATGTGAACATAGGAAAGTTATGTCTGATTCATTCTACTGTCTTTCCCATTCCCGTCCCCCCTCTATTCACCTTATTGCCCCTGCTGAATCCGGTGAACCTCCGCTCCCCACCCCCTGCCTATTGTGAGTTAGCATCAGCACATCAGAACATTCGGCCTTTGGTATTTGGGATTGGTGTATTTCACTTAGCATGATAGACCACTGATCTTAATAAAAGAGGACCGTCTGCTATGTTGTAGGGGCACTGTAATCGCCATGTTGTGGAGACTTGAACTTTTAAGAAATAAAACCAAGCATTATCTTGTTTTTCATTTCTAAATGAATTAAACATTATAGGTAAACTTCCCCATTTTTCAGATATGTTCAGATTTACATTGAAGATAGACCAATCTAATTATTTGGTAATAAAGGGGGACAGAGTGACAGTGCAGATACTCCAGAAATATGCTTTAGCAGAAATTTCTTAAAGTTATATTTTATGGGTGTCTTGCTGATCTTGCCTTCCATTAAAGACTATTAATGTGAGAAACTAAAACTAGCATTTTTATTCTAATTTGTTATGTATGACAGAATGCATTACAATTCATATTACACTTACAGAGCACAATTTTTCATATTTCTGGTTGTACACAAAGTAGTGTCACACCATTGATGTCTTCAAACATATGCTTAGGGTAATGATGTCCATCTCATTCCACCTTTCCTACCTCCATACCCCCTTCCTTCCTCTCCCTCCCCTTTGCCCTATCTAGAGTTCGTATAACTAGCATTTTTAGAAATATCAAGTACTCTCTTATTGCTTGATATTTTAAAAAATATCGGTACTGTCATATTGCTTATTGGTTAGTCCCCCCCCCCCCCATTACATTGTAGACTCTAACTTTCTGTCTACCCATTGCTGTTTCTCCCTCCACTCTTTCCTTAGCTCTTCCTTATTTCTTTTTGTCCTGTCACAGAACTAAACCTGGCAAGGGAATGTTTCTTGTTTGTGCCAAGGAACTATAGATGATGATACATAGTGACAAAATAGTAATTTGGCAGTACCTGCTTTTTTCATGTTTCTAATACAAATTGTGGAACAGATTTTGCTGGTTTGTGTGCTTTGACCATTATTCATTGTATTTGTTAGTTCTCTCTAAATAACGACTGGGATACATTATGTATTATTAAAGTGTCAGCTAATACCACCATTTATGATTACTCTCAAATATCCATTGGTTGAAAACCAAGGGAGTGAGCTAAGTCTTACCCGTGACTGTAAAACATCTTGGAAAGAAGCTGAGAACAATTATTCATTATAAACAGTTTTAAGGACTGTTAAAACTTTGGATATTTAAAAATACACAATTCTGATTCTGCAATCTGCATACAGGGTAAAAATAACCCACTTAAATCAAAGTGTGAAATATGATATGTCAAGAACTATGTAATGTTTTGAACATTTTTTTAAAAAAATACACAGTTCTAAGTGCTATTAAAAGTTTAACCTGTACACTGTATGAAATAAAAAAAAAAAGTTTAACCTGCAAACTGTATGAAATACTTTAATTTTGTGAAGTTTTATTTCTACATTCTATATAATCACAACTATTTTTATATTGATAGTTTTAAATAAAAATGGTTTGGAGGTTTGTTTGCAGTTGTGTTGCCTTTTCCTATATACATCCAACAACTGTTTATTGATTTTCTACCCTCTGACAAGCACTGTCCCAGAGACTGATGATATAGCAGTGAACAAAAAAGCTAAAGATTCCTACTCTGTTGGAGTTTGTGTTCCAGTAGTTGTGACCACCAACTAAGGATATAAAAATATGTTGATACTTTATCAACTGCTAAGAGAAAAAATAGGGAAGCAATAAAATGAGGTATGAAGTATGGCAAACAGGTGGTCAGAGAAGGGGTTGCTGAAGTGATCTTAGACCAGAAGAAAAAAAAACTTCAGCATGCACATTTCTAAGGAGAAAAGAGTGAATAGTGTAAAGGCCCTGAAACTATATACTTTTACTAACATAAATTACAATGTCCCTTCTCAAAGTCACTAAATGAAATGTAATGAAGCAAATTAAACATTTTCAGCTCCAATCTATTGAGTTGATTTGGATGTCTTACAGTTAAAAAGCTACATTTCTAAGTAGGTACTTTAATTTTTGTCGTGTTATACATGCACAGCTTAATAGCGTAAAGGAATATACGATAATGTTGTCAACTATCAAGCCAAATGCGGCGGGGAGGGAAGAGTGAAGAGAAAACTTCCCTGGGGAGCAACAGAACACTTCGTTCTGTCCTCAGAGACACACACATTCCCCGTGGCCAGAGAAGTCTCCTCGTGGAGCCTTAGAGTTTTACCTGAAGTGAATTCAACTAATCTCCGCCTTAAGTTATTTGTTATGTGCTTATTAATGCTTAAAACTCTGAAAGGAGATCTAAACCTTTCATGTTTAGATTTTTGCAGATTAAAAACCTATCATTTCTGGAATTTGCAGTGGACTTCATAAAGAATTTTTTTTGTGATGTCAAGTTCAAGGGCAATGAGAAAACGAAATGTTACAAGCCTAGGAATTCTGATGAAAGCAAATGCTTCAGAAGGATTAGCCTGGCAGCAGCATGTAAAATGGAGAGATTGATTCAGATTAAAAACCTCAGTTAAGAGCTGAATAAGCCTCTACGGAAAGGAAGCAGCTTCGAATATATGGCACCAGTAGAAATTTGGGCTGGTTTATGTGATGTAACAAAATGTTAAGATTTCTGGTCTGGCACACTGGCCTAAGTGGCCTTTTAGGGTGGCAACGTAAGAGAGGTCATAAGATTCTAGAAGTCCTACAAAGCAAAAGATTGTATGATGGAATCTCTTTAATAAAAGAAAAGAAGCTGTAAAAAAGAATCAGGAATATACGCTACTAGGGAGGGATCTCCAGGGTATATTTAGTGACCGTTTGAAGAAAGTAGACTGCAGGACAGATGTACACAGCGGTCACATTGGAACACTGTTGAGACTCCATGAGGTCAAAATTAGGACCGCCGCTGAGACATGGCGCCTCTCACTTCGCTTCTGCACTCAACGTGCAGCGCAGGTTTCCAGGGGCCGTGTGTGCGATATTGCACGGTGGTGTGGATTCACGTTTAACCCCGCTGCCTCTTAGGCCACGTGTGCAGTTATCTGGATGAAGCGGGAGTCACGTGTTGCGGGCATGTGGGGAGTCACGTGGGCCGCAGGAGGCCGTTGGGCGCGCCTGCGCAGCTCCCCAGCGCGGCCTGAGCCTGACTTCCCGGCATCCTGCGCGCGGCTTTCCCGCCAGGATAAAGCCGAAGCGGTTGTCTGCTCGACTGGGTCTTCTTTCAGGGCCTGGTTT